AAAATTCAGTCCTTTATGGGATTTGAACCAATGACCTCTGCGATACCAGTGCAGTGCTTTACCAACTGAACTAACAAGCCAACTGGGAGCTGGTCATTATGTTGGTTTGTATTAAACCTGTTGAATTGATAACAATGAATTTGAACATATGAAAATCGTATATGTGTACTGCAGTTTCATGAAATGCATGAAGGCAATCGTCGCAGTAATAAACCCTATTTATGTAGTAGTGGAAATAAGGCCTGTTGTTTCTTTTAAATATTCATCTTTGAGAGTTACATTTGATAAACTTGGTCAAACACAGAAATAAAACATTAAAGGGCAAAATGAACTTAAGTGAGCCAACATAATTACACCTACTTCTTGTCAGTGCTCTGATGAAAGACAAAAGGAGTTTGTGCTAGAAAAATACAGGCATCAAATTAACAGGTAAGTTGAATATTTGCAGATAGCAGTCATTGATTAAAAAAACTTATGTTTTGTCTATGGTTATGGGTACAGTTCAATTAAGGATAGGGAGATGATGTACGTATAGTTTTATAATGGCAGCAAGAGGAAACACTTACCATGTATTTTGATCATTCTAAAAAATGTTACTTTCCCATGAATAAAATTTCCATACCCCCCTTCCAGCATGGGTGTAGATATAAAACCAGCAGGTTATTATTGTGTTTTTGTTGTTGTTCTTCTTCTTATGAACTTTCAACTTCTTCAACTATATTGGGGCTAGCTCAAAAACTTCCTGGCTGCTCTAGCCTCAAGGCTCCAATAGTGATTACGGTAAACAAATTATTTCCTGTAAATTATATATTATTTACTAATTTCATTGAAATACCATTTTCAGTTGTGTTCATTAAATATTTGTTGTTGTTTTTGTTGTTATAATTATAATATTGCGCTCTGCCAGCTCTTATTTTTCATCACATTTTAGAGTGTCATGATGTCTTTGTTATCAAACAATTTTAATTTATAGGGATTAGCACTGTGCATGTGCACATTCACATACACCTGTCATAAAATACACAAGTTCTTTTAAAGAACCATTTATAACATTACTAGTTAGTAGTTTCACCTAATAAGTTATAATCTGTTGAACAGCTGTTTTGACAAACCAACGGTAGAGGACATTTTGCAGGCATTAAGGGATGATGGATCAGATTGGGCGGTGAAACAAGTTAAGGTATGGCCACTGTCTTTTGCCTTAAACCTTCTGACCCCCTGTCTAGAATCTAGTTTCTCCCTACAATAGAATCCCTGGATAAACCTTATGGACACAAGAATAAAGGAAATGATCTCCAACAAAAGAAGCTCTTAATTTTATAGGAAAATTCATTACTTGATGAGGGAATTCTGCTTTAAATTTCACATGAAAACCGATATCAGTTTTCAAGTGCAATTTAACACAAAATTCATGAATCAAGTAATGAATTTTCATTGAATCCCATAACTGAGTAATAAATGAGAAAAAGAGAAAACAGTAGAGTATTACTTATATTTGTTATGTTTATGTAGATGCAAAACAATATGACTAATTTTCAACTCCCAATTCCACGCTAAATACCTCACTTTGTTAACCAATCAGAATGTGAGATTTTATTCAGTGATGCACTTCTAAAACAAATTTCCGTGACAGTACCTAAAAAAAATTGTAGAGAACAGTATGGAGAATATGCATACTGATGTTAGGTTGTAAAAGGTTAAATTTATATTGATGATCACAAAATTAATACTGACAAACACTGAATAACTAATTATTCAGTAATGTTTTCTTGACAAGTTCTCATGTTCATTTGTTGCCAATATCTGGTCCATAACACCATCTGCTATGATATAATTTCACTTATTAAAAACTGGATCATTGGATAATGCAATTCAAGACTTTTTATTGGCTNTCTTGGCTCTATTGTACAGAAGTGTGTTGTAAGTTTATCTGAAAATATAGTATGGTCATTTAAAGTCCTTCTCATTACATTTTGTGGATAAAAGAAAAAGCCTGACTTAAGTTGTTGTCTTCTTGGCAAACATGTGGCTCTATTGTTGCCCTCAGTCCTTTTTTTATAATGCTTATTATACAATAATAAATCTGGGTTGGAAAGTCTGTGAATTTTTTAACAACACAGGCGTATAGTATATGTCATACATGTATACCTTTGAATGAACAGGTGGCGCATAAGTTACCAGAAGCTGATTGGTTCCAGAGGGGAGGACTTGAAGAGCAGGAAGCTGACAGCATGATGGAAGAGGATGATGGGAACACATTTTTCTATCAGAAATGGTAAGGAAAAGTTTTTGAAAAGTAGAGGCTACGAGATAGTAAAGATAGTCAGGTTCCCCTAATGTGGGTTAGGTTTACGTCATATTCTTAGTGTCTTGGGTGGGGTGGGTTAGTCGTTGGTTCTTGTTCTTGCTTTTGGAGTTGTCCTTCAGGCCCCGGTTGTTCGAAGGATGGATAACGCTATACACTGGATAAATCTCTATCCGGTGGATAGCGCAGTACGTTTTGGTAACACTTATCCGCTGGATAGCGATTTATCCGTTGGATAGTGTTATCCGCCCTTTGAACAACCGGAGCCTGGTTGTTAATTCGCTTCTCTGGCTGCTACACATTTCTTTGTAATTTAATTACAAGAATTTGTTGTTAGATCAAGATGACAACTTCTACCTGTTAAGTTTGAGTATTCTCACTACCTGTTTGCTGGATATTGTATGGATATTACAGGGAGAAGTTAAATGTTAATCTCCTCTGGAAGTTTTAAATGAGTGCATTAAATAGGCTCCCATTTGAGGAAATACAGTATATTGAATTGTAAAGGGAGTGCTTTGTATTTCACAATGAATACCCATTCAATCCTGGCAATTATCTATTTCCATGATTGTTTTTCAGTCCCCGACATCCTTGAAAATAACCCTTAGACAGTTACAAGAGGGAGAAAGTTTAAGTCTTGGTGATTGTTTGAAAATGGAATACAGGTTAACCCAGAGGTGTATGGTGAGGATAATTATTAATAATAATACATTTGATACTATCTTTCTTTGACCAGTATCATAATTGGGTGAACTCATACACTATGATGCATAATAATATACAAGAGAAAATTATGTGCATCTGATTGGCTGAAAACAAGTGCATTTTTCAAGTAACATGAGTGTTAAGTAACAACTTGATTTCTCATGCAATTTGGTATAAATAAGCACTCGCCTTATGGGTTTGTGCAATTTTGTTGTCTTTGAAAAATTTACTTGTGCTTATTAACACCAAATTTCACTCAAAATCATGTTATTACCCATACCTAACTCTGAGGTTACAAATCTTGTTTGGCCTTTTTTTATTGTCATTTGTGAATTTTTCCCCTTATTATTGCTATTATCTGCATTTGTTCAATAGAAGAAACCAGTTTCTTTCTTAATTAATCTTATAATTTCCAGGTCTTAGTACAGTGTTAGTTTACTTAGTGCATCTGTTCCACCCTTGTACCAGTTTGTGAAGTTGTTCAGTTTGCAATTTTTCCCATATCATGAAAGTGCCTTTGCATGTCTAGTGCTTTATCCAGTGATTTCCTGTGACTTGCTGCTCTGAAAACTATCATTAGCAGTAATGTAGCTGTATCACTCCTTAGCCATACTGATCCAAAACTGAATGTAAACATTTTTATTTTCAGGAGGACAATGATTTCTATGAGGGAATTAGAGCTGGTATGAAGTGTGTTACATTTTGTCGATATCAGTAACTGGTGCTGGTGAACCATCCCAAATGACTGGCCCAAGTTCATCATAGTGCCCATTTTTTGAAAAAAAAAAAAAAAAAAAAGAAAAAAAAAAAGAATAAAAATTTAGGTTAGGTTCTTAGAATTTGATTGTGCTTACATTGTACTTTGTCTTTTTATTTTAGTTTTAGTAGACAAAGATAATAACCCCAAGTGGAAGCCCGGAAGTTTGGCTGATGTGTCAAACGACAAGGTGGACAGCTACTTTAAAACACTGGGAGATGGAGAACTTGTTCTTTGATGTTACCTTGGTAACCATCAATTCTATAGGGAAAAAGAGTCTTGGACAGAATGATGACTACACAAACTCTTCTGGTGGATGAAACATTGTGAACAGTCTCTACTTTTACAGCAAAATTCATACTGTGTCAGATTACAGATTGTTTTCTCTTGTTGAATTTCTCTTACAAATTGATCCTGTCAACAGTATGATTTAATCACAAAACATTTGGAGACAGTAGCCTAGGTCAAAGAAATCATGTAAACTTCATTTTGATCAACTTGTAGAAAATATGTTGGTTGACGGTTGTGGAAGTATCAGTTTGTAAACTTTTATCTTCTTGGTGCTTGAAATTGGTGCTCAGGGGATGGGTATGTAAATGTATGGGACAATCACTTTTATTATCAAAAACAAAAAATAAAACTGCTTGTGAATCTGTATTTTGTAGTTTTGTTATATCAAGTTTGCAATGTGAAGAAATGTTTTAGAAATCAAAACTCCATTCTGGAATTGATAACATGTACCTTAAAAAATTACATTCAATTTGTTTACTGATAGGCCTGAAACTAACCAGCTAGCATTGGAATTAAAACAGTTACATCAAGGTTTACTCCAGCTAGAAGTGCATCAATTTACACAACATTTCAATTTATTTTCTGTTGCACCTTAATCCTTTAGCTAAGAGGATCTGAACATGAATTCTCTTAACTGGTGATCATAGTCTTCCTTGCTGTCTGTTTGTGAGAATATTTGAAGTTTTATCAAGATATCAGGATTTTAACTGTAAACTATAGGAAAAGGAAAGGGTGCAGCTCTGGGACTACACACATATTTATAAATGCACTTTGGATTTATCAGTAAAAACTGCAAAGTCCTCCATTTCTGCATTCTGTCACACAGTGCAACTAGGACAAGGCAGTAAAACTGATTACAGGTTAAAAAGGAAAAATGCCCTCAAAACTGTCAAAACATGTTTTCAACAAGGAACCATTTACCCTCAACATATCACAAGCTTAACATGAATATTCTACTTTGATGTTTACACATCAAAAATAACAAGAGCACTACTCGAAAACCTTAATATGTTATAATTTAGCTGCTTCGTATCTCTCGGCAACATTAGCCCAGTTGATGACACCGTAAATGGCTTTCACATAGTCAGGGCGGACGTTCTTGTACTGCAGATAATATGCGTGCTCCCAGACATCAATTCCAAGAAGTGGCACCAGTCCTAAAAAAATTGAAAATTGGTGACCTTTATATGAATGAGGGAAGGTTTTATGTCACTCCTGGGTTCATCATTCTCCCAATTTCATCCAGTGTATCAAAAATTGGAAACACATCCTAACTTTAATGAAATTTTACTTTCCATACATAGGTGGTGTCATTTTGGCTCATAGTTTCACAATTATCTTTATTTCCCATTGAACAATAAAAAGGGCAACGAAGAGGGAGTCTGTTTAGTATAAGGCAACTCCTTAACTCCCAGAAGAGATGAACATTTAACTTCTCCCTATAGTTTCCATACGTAACCCTGCAAGCAGGTAATGAGAATACTCAAGCTTGTCAGGTAGAAGTTTTTGTCCTAAGCTACAACAATTTCTCACATCTGATTTACAAGGAAATGTGTGGCAGTTAGAAGGGAGAATTCACAGTCTGATCTTAGGAGTCACCTGTGGTGGCCTGGAGAGGGTCTTGATTGGCACATGTGGTGATCACCAGGCCCTTGTCAGCCTTGCTATAACCCTGAAAAACAAAGGGATTAAAAGATAAATGTAAGAGACTCTTGCCATAAATAAAACTGATTTTTCTTTCACTCAGAACCATGGCATTGCATTTGTAGCTGCAGACCTCTTAAAACTCCATTGTCCCACTGATTGCCACAGATGGACATCGGAGACTCAGATATAAAAAAGGTAGGATAAACATGTATGCCTCTTGTATCAATAACCTTTGTTTTCTTTACTTGTTCACTTGAGGATTTTTTCCGTAGTCGTTTTAAAGGACCTAGGCTGCACTAATGAATTCACTGACCCAATAATTTTAAATTCAATTAATTCAATCTATAGTTTTTAATTGCAAATCAGTCTTGCATTCTAAATTCAGATAGGCATTCATCAACTTACCAGCCAACCCCATCCTGAGCCCTGCACAGCTACAGTTGCTGCATTGAACCTTTCCTTAAAGTTTTCAAATGAACCAAAGTCTTCCTTGATAGCTTCCATCAAGGCTCCTAAAAAAGATCAAGATTTGAAATTACTGTGTGTAAATCCTCTAATAAGCCACCCCTTTTGGAGGAAGAAATTTATCACACCCCCTCCACCCATCCCCTTCAAAAAACAAAAATTCAAAATAACACTCCATGTCAGTAATGTAAGATAAACTTATTCAAGTACTGAAATATTAGTTTGTCATTTAAAATTGATAATGGAGATTGACTGATCCATGTTATCATGTTGGCATCAATAGAATTTGGTATACAGAAATACAGAGCGATGCCGAAAATATATTATGGCTAAACAAGGTCCATTGAGAGAGTTAGATCATAAAATTGAGTTCTAAATGAATAAGTCCCCCTTTAAGCCACCCCCCCAAAGTACCTGAAATAAATAAGCCTCCTGCAGAGCTTTTCAGAGGATTTATGGTAATTTTAGCATTTAGTCCAGAAGAGGTTGAAGAGGGAAGCTAAAGCCTACTCAAAGAATTAAAACAAACTGTACATGTGGATCTGGTCTACTTATCTATAGGAAAAATCAGCTCTTTGCACCCTTACATCAGTATGCATATTCTCCATACTGTTCTCTACACATTTACTATGTTGCTGACAAGGAGAATTTGTTTAACAATCAAGAACTTCTTTGGTGGTTATTTCCTTAATTCTTGTGACCTTTATTTGTGATTTGGGGGTGATATTGAAAGGAGAAATTAGATGCTGGTCACTCTTAAGAGTCAAAGGGTTCAGATTTCCCTGATATTACCCACCCAAATCCTTTCCTAAACCTTCAAATTATCACAAAAAAGAAGCTAAAGAGAACAGACAAAATACCTGTTGGTTCACCTCCACCAGTAGGAGAGAGATTTGTCCAAAATATTGAGTGATTAATATGTCCTCCTCCATTGAATTTCAAGGCTGGCTGGAGTGATATCATAGCACTGGTATCTCCTGTCAAACAAAAACCTTATCAAAATAGATTCTACATGAGACTGCTTAGGCAAAACAGAGATCACTAGCTGTGATGCTGGAGAGAAGCATCACATCATTGAGTTCAAAGTACAGCCTTCTTTTGTTGTCATTTATAATGACCTGACCTACCCCACCCTTCCAACATTCCACCATTTTCTGTTTCCAGGGACTATTATCATGATAACTACCCCCAATGGAGACCAAGTTGAAAAGGAGAATTAATTTTACATTTTTCCAATTTTTTTTATTTTTCTGTATTTCAAACTTCTTAGTATAATGTCATTAGAGGTGTTTTTTTTTTTCACAGAGATTTAATTTGGGGTGGGGTATACATGTAGCACGCTCCTGTTGCTGACTATCCGTTCCACCATGGATACTAACTTGTCATTCAAATATTGTGTCATTCTCGCCACCAGATAATATCAGTTTTGTCAAATAAGGAATCTTAAGGCAAAATAATAGGTGGCATCTTCAACAAAAATTGTCACACACTATTTATTATTGCTTAACCATTTACACCATAATATCAATGTTAACATTCCTCATACTCTTCTTTATACATTTCTTTTGTTCCTGACAAGGAGAATTCTTTTAAAAATCAAAGCTTTTTAGGTTGTTCATCATATCCTTTATTCTCAGGATAATAATGAATGATTCAGAAGTGTAAGGAGAAACTCGATGCTGGTCACTCGTGGGGTTTTAGAGGGTTCTCTTGCAGTCAGTCGATTTCCCCAGAAATCTCCCTCAAGTTAAATTGACTTCGAGAAATATCACGTCGACATCACACACAAAAAAAAACCAAACTGCATCGTTGTAAAGCGAGAGACATTTTAACTGGTTGTACCATGGAAATATTGGGCAAGATTTCCACACACAGCCCCATCCTTTGTTTTTAATATGCATTGATTCATTTCTTGAATGAAGAAAACAATGGTGAAAGCAAACGATAACCTTTAAGACTAAGGCTTTGAAAATATTTCCAAATATTGTCTTCTCTAACCTTTAGCTTGCGCCTCAGAAAACTTTTCTTCGGCTACATTCAAGTTGTTCACATATGTTGCATGATGTTTCTGGTGATGAAGTTGCATAATTTCTGCACTGATTGCTGGTTGTAAAGCATCGTAATCGTACGGCAAATCGGGAAGAGTATGCTTAGTTCTAGATGACTCTGCAACAACGGCAGGAAATAACTTCTTTAAGGAAAAAAAGCCCCTAGAACTTCGTGACATCATCTTCAAAACATGGACGCATTGACGGAGGTGTTCGGAAACGTGGAGTGGGAATAAAACCTGGGCACGAGGGTATTTGCTAGAGAAGTGTCGGGGTCCGGTGGGGAGGACGTGTCTGTAACTCTCTCTAAACCTTATCAGTTTATTATTGCCGGGTATGTCAGCAGCAAACAATGAAAATTGATTTACTATGAATTATTTTGAACTTATTTCTTACGAAAAATAAAACGCTGAAGAAAGATAAATCTTTAATAACTAATAATTAAATATTAAGTTGCTTCATACTCGACCCCACCCTATTAAAATAATCTCTTGTTTATCTAGTTCCCAGTTTCCGATTGAAGCATTGGAAGGTTTTGAAATCTATTGAACATGGAGGGACGCGGAGGGCTTTCCCCAACTCAATTAGAAGAGGTATTAACATTTGTCCAATGTTTTGTTCAGCTTAAGATCACAGAGTTTAAAAGCATCTTGATTTCTTTTAGTACAAGACAAATGGCTTTCTGGTCATTGAAAACTTCTTCTCGCTGGAAGAAGTGGAGGAAATGAGGATTGCTATGTACGATATTGTGGAAAAAATGAATTTAGAAGATCATCCCAAAAGCATCTTCACCACCGGAGAGGACCAAGTGAAGGTGAGAACTTGAGTGAGGGCCAGTTTGTTGCCTCGATTTCCTTAGCTCCGCTGTAGACCATGTAGATCGACGATCGGCCATGGTGACATCCCTTCCTCTCGGCGGGCAATCGTGCTGAGTCATGCTATCGTCATCTAGGAAAAAAGTCTCTCACGAGTTGACATGGATTGCCAGAGTTATGGTAACTTTTGGTCACTGTTGTGCCTGTGTTACCTCTGTCAGATTTTGTACGATCAAGGAATGGTTCAGGTTTCTAGTCACTTACACGTGCTCAGTGGCCGCCCGTGAGCTCCAAATTTTCTTGCAGGAGTTCTAAACGTTAAGAAATGAACCTATAGATAAAGACGTAAATTATTACCTTTGTGTTTCCCATTACTTACTGAGTATATACCAGTTTATTTTGAAGTATTTTGATGGTAAAGAATACCAAATGACATTATGTTTGTCCACTGACAGGATTTGCTATATAACCCCTTTCACTTCCAAGACTGACCAATCAGTAATTTCTCCTAAATATATCAATACATTACCAAGCAGTAACGTGATGAGAAGAAAGAGGGTCTAGGTTTAGTTACATGCATTGACAAATTGTGAAATTCTGTCGCTGAATCAGTATCCACTAATTCATAGCTTTTAAACTGATTTTCCAAGGCTTTAAACAGGCTCTCATGACAATAATAGCTATTGAAACTATAAATGAATAATTGTGCTCTTTGTCATCTTTTTCATTAGTTTAGAGATGACTACTTTATGACAAGTGGAGACAAAATCAGATTTTTCTTTGAACAAGGAGCTTTTAATGACAAAGGTGAGGTTTAATGTATTATAATGACAAAAGTAACAGATTTCCCTCTCAGCAAATTTACACAACAGTACTGTAACTTGCATTGGGAGGTGTGGTGGCTTCATGGTTGGTGGGCTTGACTCCGGATCAAGTGGTCTGGGTTTGAGCCCTGGCCGGGGATGTTGTCTTGTATTCTTGGGCAAGACATTTTACTCTCACATTGCCTCTCTTCACCTAGGTGTTTAAATGGTGACGGGCAAATTTAATGCAGGGGGTATCCCTGCAATGGATTGGCATCCCATCCAGGGGGGGGGGGGTTAGAAATACTCCTAGTCACTTTGTGCAACAGTAACCAGCATTAAAGACCGACCTGATGGGCCACTTGGCTCTTACTTGCACAGCTTGATCTCATATGATAAATTTGTCAACTTACCTAGGTGAACTTATCAAGGACAAGCAAAAAGCCATAAACAAAGTTGGTCACGGTAAGATTTTTATAGAAGACTTCTCTCCAAAGTGAGCTCTATAGGCATGATTCCCAAACAGAAAAACATTACTGAAACAAGTTTATGGGGTGAACTACATACTGGTGAGTTTAGAACATGATCTAGCTCAGTGTGGTATAAACATTAAAATTAATGAATTAAATAAATGAAAATTGATAGATAAGATTTAAGCAGTGGTACTTCCACAAGATAGTTCTGTGTCCAATGATTTCAGTTTAAATTGATTGTTTTTATGGTGGGAGGGAGAAGTGGATAACACAGAGAAAAACTGTTGGAGGAAACTAGATTTTTTCGGGGGAAAGAATAAGATTCAGCAGCAGGTTCATGATTTGCACAAAGATCATAGCATCGGGAGGTACCCTCTTTCACTACTGCACTATCAATGCTCTCCATGTGATTGTGAAAGTATTACTGGATTAGGCTTGAATCCTGCTAGGGGAGACGCAGTTTTTTTCATGCCCTGTTCACTTAAAACAGAAGAGTATATCCTTACAATGGTCTCTCTCTAAATTTTTCATTTTCTATTCTTAAGTTATGTATTCATCCTTTCTGTGTTATCATTAATTTTGATATATTAGTATAATTCTCCTCACGGTCTGCCATACAATTCTTGTAGTGTTAGTTTGGAGAATTTGGTATCGGATCAACTAATGAACCCCTTGTTCATATTTTTCTTTATTCTCATCACTTGTCTGCTTGATATTGTATTGAAGTTGCGAGGAAAAATTCTGTCTTGGTCACTCATGGGAGTTCAAGGATTAAATGAACATCTGTTTAATATTTTGTGTTTATTTCTGTCTCCTTAGCCCTTCATGCCTGGAATCCTGTCTTTAAAAAGATGACATTCAACAAGCGAATTGAGGTATTTCTAATTTAAAGAATAGTACATCAAGTGTAATGCATTTACACTGAGTTTTTTCTACATGTGATAACTTTTCAATCAATATTGATGTGACTCAATCAAACTTTTTTTTTATAGGCTGTTGTCAAATCAACAGGATTCAAACACCCTGTTGTCCCACAGAGCATGTACATTTTTAAAGTGAGTCGGCTACAAGAAAGATTCTACAATTTTGTAAATTAAGGTTGTCATGATTCTGGAGACTAAATTCAATATAAATGATCGAGACAGAGAACAAAAAATTCTTTAGTGTTGTTTACTCTTACACTATATTATCTCGTGACAAATCATATGCTGCCTTTTATAGGAATGCTGATTTCCAGTTTCAGGCTTATCACATGTAATAAAGTAACAATTAAGGTTTTCTGCACTGGTTTTATAGGTAAAAAATGCCTATGCCAGCATTTACATGGTGTAAGGAATAGTATGGGGAACAAAGTATGGTTCATTTACAACACTACTTTTTTACCTAAATAGGAACATTTTACACATAAGATTGATAAAAATTTCTCACTCCTGGCATGTCCATTGTCATTTTTGGTGATTTCTGCCATTTTGGGCTTGCTTAATTGCCAACACTGTTATTCCTGTTTTTGGACGCATTTATGGAATAATCTTTAGCTTTTCCTTGAGACCTGAGCTTGGGACACCTATGGTCTAAGATGATATTATTATAGGATAAGCTGATTGAAGGACATATGCATTTCGATTTGTTCCTACTTATGATCTATTGAGGACAGACACAAAGATGATATCTCTATCAATAACATTTTGATTCGTTATCGCCAAAAAAAAGTAGATTCCATGTTGCCATGGGTCTGAGTAGCAAATGGTTACAGGAGATGCCCAAATGTGGTTAAAACATCAGGCCACATTTTTGTTCTTACTACATTTTGATCTATTCTGTGATTTATTACAAAACAGATGTACAGACACATGGAATCTATTTGTTACATGATAGTAAATAGTTTGAATCCAGGTCACCAACATGTGATCTCGTAGTCTAGCAATCCTAATAAAGATTAATAGAGTTGCTGTTCCGAGTAATGAACAAAGATTTCTTTTGTCAGAAGGCTAGTATTTCACATGTGTCTTTCTAATGGAATACTCTTTTTTCTTTTCATTATTTACTCATCAGCAACCAGGAATTGGTGGTGAAGGTAAGAAATTTAAATTTAGTAAAGAGAACAAAATTGTATTTAATTAAGCTGCAACATCTTCAAAGGAGCCTTTCTCATTCTCTGTTTCCAGGTCTGTTTGTATTTGTGTTGGTCTTTGAGAAGGGTTGAAACTTGTAGAACCTGGACAAAAACCTGAGGACTAATGCACTGATCCATTCAAAGCTTCATTTGTCTGTTGTCAATGCCTGGTGTGTGTGTGTGTTTGTGTGTGTGTGTGTGTGGGGGGGTGGGGGAGGAATTTGAACATTGCCTGGGAGGGATAGGGAATTTGAACCAGAACTGTCAAGTCTTTCCAGTGGCCTTTAAAGGTAAAAATGTTCACTTTTGTGGGCCGATGGCTCAGAAGAAGAAAGTAAGTGGCTAATCTTGCCTTTAACATATCAATTGACTATTAAATCTGGCACTTTTGCCTTTAACATATCAATTGACAATCAAATCTGGCACTTGGATGGGAAATTTTAACACAATTTTGGCCCCAATGGTGGAGAAGGATTTGAATGAACTGTATATACAAATGCATGGGGGTTGCTGGGGGGATGTTAAGGCTTCAAATTGGTTATTGTATAATAACCAGAACCTACAATAAACTCAGTGCTCATGTGATGCAGGGATGGAAATTGAAGCCACTTGGCCATTGTGGTGGGTTTATGTTCACATCAATAAGAGGTTTTATTTTCCTTTGCATCTGTAGTCTCACCACATCGAGACTCCACTTTCCTGTATACAGAGCCACCTAGTGCTATGGGAATCTGGATTCCACTTGAAGATTGCACTTTGGAGAATGGCTGTCTGCAGTTTGTCCCCAAGTCACAAAATGGTCAGTTATATTGAAAACCTTAATTTTTGTCTACTCTGAGGAAAGATGCCACAGTATACAGTGAAACTTATATTAAATGGAACACTTTTATGGGCAGACACCCTCCACTTACCAGACACCAACCTGTCATATATTTTTCCTTCCTTATTTGCTGTAAATGTAGCTGCAGTCAGCAGACACCTCTTTTAACACTTTATTCCCCAACATCAGACTGCATATTCTCTGTATTGTTCTATAGATTCCAGAAGTCTGCTTATGCAAGTTTCACAGTTGTAAATGATTGATTTTCATTCCAGTCAATGAAGTCAAAATTCATAGCATTAGGGTCTGGATATAGTTAATTATTCTTACTAGTGATTTTTTTTTTTTGGGGGGGGGGGTAAAAGAGCTTAGGTGGTAAATCTTTCTTTAGATACAAATTTGGGTTTTGGTGCCTCAGTGCTTCTAAAGCGTAGGGTAAATCTTTAGATACCAAGTTTGGGTTGATGTCTCTGTGCTTAAAAGGATCAAGTGTTGCAATTTAATTTAATTTAATTTTTTAATTTTAATTTAATTTAGTCCATTTTCACTGCATTAAGTTTTGCAGGAACCATAGGAACCATTCGTGCTAGTCCACCCTCCCACCCATCCCACCCCAGGGGAGGACATCCATCACACAGTAATCTTGTGTGGGGGAAATTAATGTCTCCTACCCCAACCCTGCAGGAGATGGGACCTCCATTTATTCGTCCCTATCTGAGAAGACTAGAATATCTAACCATTTCTTGATGTTATAGAAAGGTAGCAAATTCTTCTCAATTATTTTAAAGACCCTGAGTGTTAGTCTGGCCGGGGCTCGAACCCTCGACCTCCCGCACAACAGTCCAGCACTCTATCCATTGAGCTAACTGGGCAAGGTCTTGCAGTAAATTTTATAACTTCATCCAGATTCTTGACAGTCTGCAATGGACTGTTAGTCAACTCTTCCTAGTTAGCTGGATTGTAATGTTTCTGAGTGTTTCCCTGATCTGCTTCACAGAAGGAATAAAGTGCCGTTTTATACGCAACCCTGAGGCAGGGACTCCAACCATCTTCAGAGGACCTAAAGAAGAATCTAGAGATGACAGTGACTACATTCCTCAGTTAACAAAAAAAGGTGAATGCAGATATGATCAAATGTATGAAAGCGTGGGCAATCGTGCTGTGGGCAATAATAAACCCTAATTATGTCGAAATAAGAGAAATAAGGCCTGAAAAAATTCAGGTCCCCACATGAGTTGAACTCATAACCTCTGCGATACCGGTGCAGTGCTCTACCAACTGAGCTAATGAGCCAATTCGGAGCTAGTCATAATGTTGGTTCATATTGAACCGGTTGAAGTGAAATAAATCTATGAATTTTGAATGTTTGAAAATGGAGGACCTAATATTTTTTAATTTGTATATTTGCAAGAATTTGGTATTTCCTTTGAAAGATTTAGCCTAAGAGATCAAATATGTCTAATTTTTAATTTTTATGACCTGTCTCCTTCACAGTGCATTCAAATTGTCATTGTTCTGATCACTAGATATCTCCTCATATATCTCCTTTTATTGTAAACTTGCTGGTACGTCTGCAAGTGTTTGATTTAATTAATTAAATTGATTAATCAATTAATCAATAAATATTTTCATCATCATCACTCCTGGAGGTTAAGTAACCCTTTACACCTAACATCAGTGTACATATTCTCCATACATTTCCTAAGGTGCCGACGAGGAGAATTTGTTCAACAATCCAAAGTTTGTTTAGTTGGTGATTTCCTTTAACTGTGTGACGTTACTGTGTGGTTCATGATCACGGGTGATATTTAATGAGAAATTAGTTGCTAATCACTCTTAGGGCATGTGCTGGTCAGGTCAAAGGTTTAAAGGATAAAAAAGCTTTCACTCCCAAGAATTTAAAATAAATTTGCATTTCTTATAAACGTCACATACAAAAAAAGGTTTTTAATTTCCATGCAAATTTATAACAGAACACAGTAGACACCAGAATGTTGTTGAGAACATCCATAACATACTGCGCTTGTATCATTTTGCCTCTAACCGTGTAACACTTTCACATCAAAATACACATTCTCCATGCTGCTCCTTAAACATTTACTATCACTGACAAGGAGAATTTGTTTGACAATCGAAAGCTTCTTCAGCTTGTGGTAATTTTCGTTATTCTCATGACCTTAAAGGTTTGATTCAGCAATATAATGCATCATACATCTTGGATAGGGACAAAAAAAACCATAGGCCTGTCTCCTGCATCTGGTTAGCAGGGAATGTTAAAGAACCCACACACTTATAGCAAAGAGTAAGGAACATAGCTCCCGGTGTTGTGGTCGGGCCTGTTTACTGAAATTGTGGTAGGGGATAGGGAAAGGTAGTTTATCTCATGGGGGACAACCTTGTCCTATTGTAGAGGCCCTGTTAGGGGGGGGGGTATAGATGTCGCTCGTCTGAATTTCAAACTTTGTCACATCGCCATTTTGGAAGGTTCTGATGTCGCTGTTGCAATTTCATCAATGTCGTGCTCAAAGTTGCGTTTTCATTTCCCTGATGTCGCTGTTTCAATACCATGTCACCCGTCTGAATTTACCCCTATCAGGGCCTTATTGTAAATTTACCTGCCTTAGGCAAATTGTCAAAGTCACTATTAGGGATTAAAGGGTGAATGTATTTTGAAATTCTTCTGGCAACATGCATAGGGTCTATTTTTTTTTTCAATAAATATCTTAAATCCTTAATAAGAGGCTTTTATTTTCTAGTACTCTTATGTGGAATTGCTTAATATTAATATCCCCATCCAGGTTGTTTGGTGTTGATTCATGGAGCTGTTCTGCACAGAAGTTTCGCAAACAAGTCTGAGAGGTCGCGGCATGCATACACTTTTCATATTGTGGAACAAGAAAACACAGAATACAGCAAAGAAAATTGGTAAGGTGTACTGCAAATTGAAGTTAGATTAAGGTCTTAAAATCAAAGGCCTCAGCTGCAACAGGCCAAAGTATCATAAGGAACCAAAGTAAACTCTATGTAAACACTGGTAATGCCCAAAGCACCTGCTGCCAGAGATTTAAGGGATATTTGGTTTGATGGTTTTCACTTGGTTGCAGAGTGGTTGAGTGGTGTGGTTGGCTTTAAGTAGTGTTTTTTAGGGTAGTGGGTAAGGGGTGGCGATGTCTTTTCTGGTCAGGGGAATTAAAGAATTTAAGCATGTAAGCAAAAGTAAAGTTATCACGAAACATTGGTGCTAGTCAAAAGACTGTCCTAAATTTCTGTTGCATTATTCAAGGTTACAGGCAAGTTTTTACCTCACCCTATTTCTTCACTATATAGTGGATTTTCCAGTTAGGTTTAGCCACCAAATATCCCAGCTTACATTTACCCCCCTGCCCAAAGGAAAACTCACAATCGCTGATTCAAAATCCAACTTAGTATTCCCATCCCCACACACAGTTAAATAATTTATTTCTTGAAGAACAAAAGTAGGCCTCTGAAAAAAGAAAAAACCTTATTTTCCTGTCTTTAGGTTGCAACCCTCACCAAAGTTACCATTTCCTCCTCTTTACACTGGGTAGATGGTGACAATGAACATTTAGGACCAGAAGAGTCAAGCTGATTCAATCCTCCACTCATACATGAATCCTATCATACTTGAACTTTAGGCTCAGTTTAACAATTCTTTTGTTTTCATGTTACTATTTGTTAGGCTCTTTTGTTTTTATTTTGTTTATACATCCATGTCTGAAGTACACTACATCTCAAAATTGAAACTCCCAGGAGAAGTTTGTTCTGGGTGTGCTTTGAAATATTTCTTTCACAACAAGCCTAAGAAAAATTTTGCAGAAGTGTGAAAAACATTAATTTTGTAACAGTATACCACATCAGACAATCATATTTTAGGGACAATTCAGATGGCAGATTTTGGAAAACACTCTGGGAATTATTTCCTACAATGTGCAACATGGTCTTTATATCAGGGATATCATTGAAGTTAGCAGTTATTTTGTTTTATTACAGTAGAAAGATAATATGAAGATGCAAGAAATTAAAGCACAGCTCTTTAATTTGTCATTTTACAAAATTTCGAATCATTAATAGCTTAATACAATTACTGTGTATTGTTTTTAGCCTATGTATCATATCAAATGATTTTTTTTTACAGTGTAAAGCAAATTATTAATCATCATCTTATATTCAATGCTTACATAACAAGATTGGAAATAATCATGTGACCTATATATAATTATATAAAGACCTTAGTCAATTAAGTGTGATATATTCCTTTATAATAAAATTTTCAATGAAGCATAAATATACTGGCTAAATACTGAACCTCCAACTTGAGACTTAAAACACTCTGTTTTTTTCTGAACTCTACATATTTGAACTTTTGAGAATTAAGGTTTGAAGTCAAAACATCAAACTGACTTTAAAAAAGTCTGTTCTACTCATTATCTACCACCTGAACAGGCCATACTGCTTCACTTTCCTAAATATGCCGGATTTATTGTATTTAATTCAAAATAAAATAACCCATGATTAAAAAACTGTTATTGTTCAGAAATGCTTCACACTAATGAAGAGTATAGATGAGATTTAATTGTATAACATTCTAAAAAAGAAATTGTTCCAGTAATGTGTATTGCATGTTCAGTTATGTGCCTGTCAGTTATAGATCAAACCAAACCTTTTGACTCAAAAGATCAGATTGTTAATTCTCCCTTCCAGCTGCTACTCATTTCCTTGTAAATCAGTTAGAAGAATTTGATACTAGATCAAGATAACTTCTAAGTCTGATAATTCTCATGGCTTGTTTGCCGGGTGATATCAACATGTAACTTATCCCTATCATATATAAATAGAATAAATGTTTGAAAAGAAAATTTGCCCTGAGCAGGATTTGAACCCACGTCCCCCTGTTACTAGTCAGATGTGATGACCACTACACTATCAGGACAACCATGCTGGCAACACGGCAACTGAAGTTGTGGTTTATGTGATTGGAGACGTGGTCTCCCGGGAAACTTAATTTTCAAGGTGACAGGGTAGGGGAAGCCTATAATCCCATATGAAACCCAACTAAGGATCTATTAAAGCTACACGACAGAAGTCAATATAATAGGGATATGTTACATGTTAACCACTTCTTGGATTTATAGGTTAACAAGGACTTCCTGAGGTACGTGAAATTACTTTGTTTACTCAGTGTTTTGTAATTGGACTGATGTAGTGGCATGAAAAAATACCAAAATTGAAATTATGCAAACTGTCAATTGTTTTTTAGCAAAGTATTTATAAATATTTTTAAACTTTAATAAAAACAATGTGTCCACAAAATGAATAAAATGCTGATTATCTGGCTAATCAAGATAATTTATCAAATCATTTTAAAAATTACAAAGTTACCTTCAGCTACCATTAGAATAATGCATTTTAACTGAAGTAATCTGAGAAGAAAAACCATTGAGGTGATTCACCAGTGAACAGTTTATTTTTCTAAGAGATAAACCAGTACCACGAGTGGAAAATGGTCTCTAGATGTGGTGTGGAAACTGTTACAATAAGATCAATGTAAGTCAAGGTCACAGGTGTTTTTATTTCACTAGCATCATGACCTGTGAAACATAAAATCTCAACAAAGAAACACAAAGGTAAGGCTCCTTGTATAGCAGGATGCCTCCCTTGCCAAGTAGATACGAACTTGTAGGTAATTACATACAATCATTTCCCATGTTCCCCAGAGGAGAGGGCATTTGTCTTGTTGATCAGGAGAGCCAAAGTCTAATGGAAAGTCCACAAACTACTGTCTGAAAGGGGAGCAAAATAATTTGAATATATCAACAAAGTTGAAATGGTAAATTGGCCACTGTTATGGTTATAAAAACTGACATTTCGAGCTTTAGCCCTTCCTCTGATCTCCAACTAAGGTATAATGCTGGAAACGTCAGCTTTTATAACCGTAACCGTGGGCAATTTACACTTTCAACTTTGCTGATATATTCAAATTATTTCGATACGCCCACCAACACAGCGCCAAACAGTTTCTTTAGAAACTATCAGCCTTTATTCATATGAAAGGGGTGCAGTTTGTCATAGCTTGATGGTAGCTATTACTTTTCTATAATATATAACTTTGGAGTCAGTACATACTTTTGATTATTAAATATTTAATGTAGAAGTTGTTTCAGCAAATGTAATATAAGTATAAAGATCGTGCAATAATTTTCATAAAAATAAGTATCTTCTGTTATGTCAATAAGCTTTGTTATACAGTAAGTTTGCTCATTTCAGATATAAATACACCAGGGTAAATTCTCTATTATACATGTCCAGATAGATTTATGTAAAGATATGATTTGTGATTCACTAAAGGATATCACAACAGATGCACTTAATCTCCTTTCCAGTCCCTATTTTGCTGTTTTGTTTGTTTTCTCCTCCAGCCCTTTTAATAACAACCAAAATCTGAATCCCTTATCTCCACAGAGAGAAATTCACAAGTTTGTCACAAAATTCTTCAACTGAACTACTACCTACGCAACTAGCAAATATAAGGGCTCCAAAAGAATTGTTGTATTAGCTCAGAGAATTTGGTGATAAATCAACCAGTGTCCCATTGTTGATAATTATAGTCCTCATCAACCTTGAGCTTGAAAATGTATAGATATCATAGGGAGAAATTCCCCACAGATCACTTTTGGGAGCAAAAGAGACTCAATTCTCGAAGGTGATAAACATGCAACTCCTCACAGCATAGAGAGTTGATATCATTTTAGATACTGGGGGTCAAAAAGTTATCTCTATAAGCATTAAGAGTAACCATTCCCTACTAAACAAGTCAACCTTTTCACCCTCCAGATCTAAAAAATAAGTTCTCTGCTCTTTCTATCTTGCATTTCCTTTTATTAATTTAGCTTAGAGAATTTCACACCAAATCAACTGATGCCCTACAGTTGATATCCTTCCTTTTTCTCATAACTGTATAACTACTTGAAATGGATTCCTGTACACAGTAGTGACAAAATGTTCTTTTTTGTGAACACAAGAATGAGAGGGTTCTGCTTTGTTTTCAAAGTCTCACCATAAGTGGATGAGTTTTGGTGTGTGTAATATTGAACACAATTATATACAAACTATTCAATATCAAGCTTATATTATTACATGTCATGGAGGATTTTAAAGAACCTGTTCTCACTTTTGGTGTTCCATTGACCAATGAAAACTGGCTTGTTTGTAAATTAAGTAGAAAGTACGAAGTAAGCATGCACCTGGCACCTCTATTGTGAACTTAACCAATCAAATGCTTGCGTTTGAAACATTTTCATCCTTCTAATTTCAAGTTTAAATCAGCAGCAAATTATCTTTATAAAATATAATCCAATATGGAATGTTGAGAAATCATTTCCTTTATGTTTACCAAACAAAACTAAAAAGAACATTGTTTGTGCTTGAAGAGGAGGTTAACCAAGTTGTATTAATTCAAGGATAGCACCTTAATAGCCAGGACACACCTTATGACAAGCCACCACAAGTACAACTTGTGAAAAAAACAAGTCAATCTTTACCCAACTTTGATGCATCAGTAACAAAAAATAAATTCAGTTTGAACATGTGGGATGATCAACATTTTGAGTTGTAGCAAACACCAATCAGTCTTCAAAGAGACCCATTGCTGTAACTTGTCCCCGAACATATGTTGGCATCAGTTTCATTTTATTTTCCAGTGTTTAGTCTTTGTCTTTAATATCAAGTTTGATGTGTTTAAAAACTAATTTGTAGAATAGAAAAAAGTTGTTTTAGTAGTCTTCCAGTTCCTGTGAGAAAATTCCAAACATCTGTTGTTCATCCCTTTATTGTGTGTCAAGGGAGGATCTGACTCAACAGATCAACTCTGGATTTGACAGGCACCGAAAAAAATGCCCCAATTCAGGTCTCCACACTAACGGTAGCCCACTAGCCACAGACTAGTAGAAATTGGGTTTTGGCAAGTGGTTTTTGGTTTCCACTCACCAGTTTGGCTTGTAAATGAACTGACATTGTCGCAGTATCTAAGATGTCACCCGCGACTAGGCTAGTAAGTTGAAAAGTTAGTGTTGAGCCTTGCAATTGTCTTCAGCGTAAAATAAGTCTAGGAGATCAATATATCAAATAGCCCAGATTCAAAATAGAATTCTCTTTCTAAAGTAAATGTTTGAATTTCAGTAGCAAAATTAAAATTTTAGTCATCCTCTTTAGACTTAGAGAGAGTTCACTTATTCACGATTAAATTTTAAAAGTACATATTTGTTAAATGATGTCCAGATTCCACTCTTACCTTAAAAACAATTAAAATACTTAATTATAACTATCAAAACAGTTCAAATTGCAGTAACATACAAATGAAAAGGGCAAATTAAGTGCCTCTACATTATAGTTGGGTTCTAGCCCAGGTCAAGGTCAGTCTACTTAACCCTTAACCTTCTGAGATCATATCGTGAATTCCCCCCCCCCCCCCACCCGTTTGTTTGTAAATTAGCAATGTGAATTTGGTGTTAGTTCTACCTAGTAAGTTTAAGTATTCTCATTACCTGTTTGCTGGGTAATCTATCAATATTATAAGGAGAAGTTACATGTCAATCACCCCAGGGGGTTGATTAAAGGGTCAAAAGAAAATCTCTTACTCTTAAGGGAACAAGTGTCGTTATTGTTAGTGATTTTGTTCTCCGCAAGCATAAAATAATTCAGATATTAGGCAGTTGTAGCCAAAAAATTGGCAGTTTATATCAAAATCACTAGCCCTCCAATCAGATTAGGGGAGTGTCAAACAATGATCAACATTCAATCTATGAAACATACAATTATTTGCAATCCAGGAACATCTTAAGCCATATCATCCATACTTTTTTAATTGTGATCAGTCTAAAAGAATGTGTTTGATTAATTTGTTTAACAATTTCACTTCTGTTCAAAGGCATTAATAACTTTGCGAAGTCAACTTTATCATCTCCAATAATTACAATGTTGCAAAGCTACAAAAACTTGACAAAATATATGTACCTGCATATATAAGTATGTACATCAAATTTTAAATTTTGCAACCTTAGACGTATACTGGTTGCCACTCAATGGTGAATCTGTCATGATCAAAAATAATTATTATTGGGTCACCCAAATTACACCACAGTTACAACAACTAAGCCTCCCTGAGAAAATGTGAGAACCACCTTATGATAATTGTAATAAGAACACATAATCATGTCATTAGCCTCATAAGTAACATACTATTACTTACCAAATATGAAAATCACCAAGATCATTTCATTATATATTTTCAATGACAAAAAAAAAAACTTGCAAACATCAAAAACTTAAAATTCCTACTTTAAAAAGTGAATTTGGTGGGCTGCTTATGATCATTCAGCTATTATTGGAAATAAATAGTGTTTTTCAGTGGTAATTGTTTAAAAGAATTCATTCTGAGACCGGAAAATATCTGGACATATAAATTATAGATTTCTTTTGAGTTTTCAGCAGAGAAATAGTTTTTTCCCCCCACTATATGCAACATTCATTATATTGCATTGGTAAATTTAATAATCTGAGTCAATTCAGTGAATGCATGTTTGTGACAATTATAAATATTTATACCTGTGGATAATTTAATAATTTACGAGTTTGAATTGTCTGGATGATTACTACGAGTTTCAAAATGACAGCAAATATTATAAGACTTCTACACAACCACCAACTTTATCACCATTTTAAATTACTGTAAAGCACCAAACATTCTACCAATAACCAAAATTTTCAGTATGAAACCAAATGTATGTGTTTCGATTAAATCAATATTGCGAAAGTATTCAACACAGTGTCTAGCAAGGTTTTGAAGTATAAACCTTTGCAATACACACATTAAATTAAGAGACTTGGTAGCAGCAGAATAGAATAAAGTCAAGGTATACTTTTCTTCACATTAGAACAAAACATGAAGCCAGTCATTCATGAAACTTCAAATAGAGAATTCTGCATGGCTATCAACTTCACCCTTTAACTCCCAAGATGTGATTGTTAATTCTCACCTCTTACTGCTAAAAAATTTCCATGAAAATAAGTTATGAGAATTTGGTTTTAGATCAATATAACAACTTATTCCTGATAAGTTTGAGTATTCTTATAACCAGTTTGCTGGGTAATGTGTGGTCATCATAGGGAGAAGTTACATGTTAATCATCTCTGGCAGTTTAAGGGTTGAATAAATCTAGTCATGAAATGAACCACTTAATCAAAAGTGGAATAATAGTCTTGGAAATTGTGACATTTTTCCATGTCACCAATGGCAAACTACCAGTAAAGAAACCTTTAACCACTATCTGTCATGAACACTTTCAAAATACTTTTTCTAAAGTAACACTTTACCATACTGCTTCATAATAAAATACTCAAAAGAATATGTCATCCTCAATCTTGACCACTGGACAGGCTCCGACGTCATCCATGACATGGCCAATGGCGTGGAAGCCACACTTGTTGTGACAACAGAGCTGGGTTGTGTGCTCTGTCCTCTGTATATTTCTTGTGATAAAACCATAGATGTGACAGGAGAAACTTCCTCTACTTCAACAGGATCCATCTTTATCTGAAAAAAGAGAACAAGTCGCTAAGATTCAACATTCATTTCTCTAAACAACATACTGTACCATCTTATATTCCTGTAGAGAATTTCATGTTTACATTACTACTAGCAGAAAGTTTTGGTGATGTTTTTCAAGATTTGAGGTGAAAAAATAGCTAATTTGTGAAGTGTGATCATGACTAACATTTACCAAATAATGAATGGAGAAGTATGAAGTTTAATTCTGTTTTTTCTTTTTTCATTTCACAAATACATCAAAAATGTATCTCAGAATAATATGAAACACTTCCAGAAAAGCCCACTTCAATTTATATTTAACAAAGAGGAAAGCTTCTTACCTCTAGTCTACACTCATTCTTTATACACTCAATTTCATCTCTACAAATTTTGCAGATGTAAATGATACTAGTGTCACTTTCAACTTTCCTGTAGATGTCATCAGTGATATTGTCACAAACTGTATGAATCCACCTGACAGCAGACCACATCAAAAGTGGAATATTATTACTTTGAACCTATGTTTTTCATTAGTATTTACCCCTTAAAACGTTTTCCTTGTTTTGTTTGTACTAAAAACTTCATTTGATATGACCAGTTGCCCATAACTGTATATTAAGTTCCAATAGCCTAATTAGAGGTCAACAATAGACAATAGTGCTACATAATCATGTATTACTCCTTGGTTCAAAGCATTTACCAAATGTACAAATAATATTTCACAATGACAAAATGCCTAGCTAAAAAATGAAAATTAGATTATAGAACTGAGATCAAATTGAAAGACTAAGTATTGCATTTGCTTTTTTGCTTGTTTATTGATCCTTTTAAAGAATTAACAAATTCTACTATGATCGTAAAATTGACGAATTAACTCCACCCTTACACTCATTTCTCCTTGGCTATTTCTAAAAGTTTGGTTTTAATACAAGGAACATCTCCAATTTATATGTTTTTAATTCTCAGTGCCTAAGTGCTTAGCAATGTACTAAAATTGAAACAAAAATTTAAGTTCTGATCACAGCTGGGACCCACCTACTGCATGAATTACACTGGATAACTTTCTGATTTCCTGGATCTTCATTGCAGAGAGGACATTGATTTGTTTTGTGTTTGTATTGGTAACACTTGTCACATAATGAGTAATCTATGTGCCACTGCGATGTTTGCTTTGTTTTACACTGTCGACACTGCCTACATTTCTATTTGGAGAGAAAAAAAATATAATGAAATCAGATCATGCAGGTTGTGGAAATGTTTCTGAGATGTTTCTGAGAATGGAATTCATCATTGGAAATTAACGACTAGTTAATAATTAAAAATGATCAGTCAACAAAAGAAATGTTGCACCACATATTGCAAAAATGATCAGTTAATGAAAGAAATGTTGGGCCACATATTACATGACCAAATCATTCTAAATTACATTTTATAATTAACTTAATTCTGAAAACATGTACGAAAAACTAACCAAGCTCTTTGTAGGGGTATCATCTTGAGTACCCTAAACAGACATGTACCCACATACCTCACACTTCCAGCCTAGTTTCTCTGCAAAGTTTGCAACAGGCACTGTGCAGAGAGGATGGTATCCTTTGTCACAACTACCGCAAATCAATAGTTTGTCTTTACTTGAAGTGGTCCTGTGAAATACAAATTGCATGGTTCACTATTTTCCTTGTTCCAAAGGAACAAAGGTTACAAAGGAATTCACACTAACTTCTCAATGGAACTTAAATTATAACCCTTTATACCCTTACATGAGTATGCATAATAATTATTATTCTCTACACTGTTCTCTATTCATTTCCTGAGATGCAAAACTCCTAACTCTCTACACATTAAGATCAGTATGTATATTCTCCATACTGATCTCTATACATTTCCTAAGGTGTTGACAAAGAGAATGTGTTTAACAAACAACAGCATTGTGAGTTGATGATCATTTCCTTTTTTCTTGCAACTTTAATATGTAATTCAGGGATGATATTCAATAAATTGGATGCTTAAGTCACTAATTGTTAATGCAATAAATAAAAACCAATTCCTACTCTAGACACAGCCAACTAAGTTCCTTCTCTAAAGCAAAGATAAACTAGCACTGTACTATGGGCTCTTTCTCTGGGAGCTGAAAACCTTGTAACTAGAAAAAGAAAGCCTCTGAAAAGGGATTTACCTTTAATCAGAGTAAGAGACAAAAGTTATAGACTATCCTTGGTCAAGAACAATGTTTGGTGTCCCTTCAAAAAAGGTGACCCAAAAAGAGGCAGCTCCACTGCACAGACACATGAAGAAACTTACCTACAAGACTGACATGTCTTGCACTGAGAACATTCCCACCCAGCACTGACAGACTCTGTAACACGGACAGGAGGCGAGCAGCAGTAGCTGTGATAGTAACAGCTACATCTTGTGCAGAGTAACAGCTGAGAGAACTCACCAACTTGTTGGCATCTGTTGCAGAAAGCTGGAAAATAACAGAATGTTGCAACTATTTAACACAAACTAAGGAATCACAAACAGATTCATTTTTTTTTAATCAACTTTCTAAATTAAAGAGACTAGCAATCACTGCAATACCATTACAGTATCAAATACAAAAAGAAGATTGCCATTATGGTTGTAACTGCATGCATGCATAGACATCAGTCCTTAGAGTCAGCATTCAGAACATTGAATTTGTTACCCTTACAGGTTTCAATAAACCTTATTCCCTCACACAACAATTGATGAACTAACCTATTCTTCTAATTACATCCTCATGATTTAAACAGTACAGCTTCATCATCTTCATGTCCTGCAATTAAAAAACAACAAAGTACAGTTAAGTCACTAGTTTCCAGTTTGAGCACTCTGGCATGGTTTAAATGGTACCACAAATGTGGAATCATTTGGGGTGGCTTTATAGCTTCATCCCCATCCTAGAATCAGCACTGCACTGACGAGGCTCAGAAGGCCAAAACAGTACTTTCTGCAGTTATATATATATATATATATATTTATTAAAAACTAGATCATTGGATAATGCAATTCAAGACTTTTTATTGGCTTAGCCATTAAGGTATATCAGCCAATATACCATGATCTACAAATACGGCCATCGTAAGTGTCAGCTTNGAGCTAAAAATTTATTAAAATTTAATAATTTAATTTAACGTTTTTAATTATTCCACTCGCGCTTGTTGGCTATCTATCATCTCATATCCAACGCGCGCTCGTGGAATAATTGTTAAATATATATATATATAAATTATGGAAACATAAAAAACCTTATCGTCGAATCGGAGAGTGCTCTACAATCATGGAGCTTTGTAAACAAATTGGATATACAATTGTTTATATATAAAATCGTTTATATATAAATAAAAATTGTTTATATATACAATTGTTTATCTATAAATTATATATATATATCTATATTCAATGTAAAAGCTCTAGCCATCTATACAGCCCATTCACAGTACTAACCTGAAAAGCTCTTGCAGCCATTGCACAGGGGTAATGGTATATTCTTCCACAGTCAGACATTTCGCATATAACACTTGCACCAAATCGGCCACAATAACTACATTTCTGCAGAGAAAAAAAAAACCTTAAAATTAAATGACCACAGGAATATCAACTTTGAATTTTAGAAGTCTTGAAATTGATTATGAAATTCAAGTATTTAAATACAGTTGCATATTTTTAAAGTCCACCAAACATGAGTTAGAGATTGTCAAATGTCATATAAATGAGAGAAAAGTTAATATATTTTTTTATACTAGCAATACCCAGTCCTCAGTATATAACTTCACAAGTAAGCAATTACTGTACTTAAATTTCCTTCAATGTCCTGTGAATGGTTTACTGGCATGTGCAAACTTCTGCATTCTTTGCAATCTGCAGAGGTTGTGACTGATTTGTCACAATGCACAACAGGGCAACTCAGCAGAGGAAAAGCCACTGAAAATATTATTTTTGCCTAGTGTGACCCTGACAGTACCATCTTTACTAAAATCATGAGAATGATTATTTTGCCAAACAAGTTTTTAACCCCTACAAGCCATATTTCCTTCACCAAAACATGGGAGTCATAGCCCACTACCCTCCCTCCTGAGTCTTGTTTGAGGGGCTATAGCTTCCCTAGCCCTCCCTACTCTGCCATCTATGAAGCTGTATGGAAAAGCTGATTTTGAGTTTCCTGCAATCAATTCAAAACATTAATACAAGTAACACACCTTTGATAAAATCTGATTGGTCAAGTCTACTGTAAATTCCACTGAGGACTTTGCTGCTATTGAAGCCAGCGTCCATGCTGCACACTTTTCATGTACCCAGATCTGTCCAGACTTGTCGCAAAGGTCAACCAAATCTGGTTCTTCCTCAAACCCCACACAGGAAAGATCTTCTTGGGGAGGCACTGTTTGTCTGTTGCTGAATGAGTTTCCCTTTGGGCTTTTTGGTCTGTGTTGTTTTTGTGCAACAGCAGTTGAAAAACAATGTTAGTTCACATACTTTGTACAACTGCACAGAGAAACTTTGAATGGATGTGACAAGTATACCAAATTGCACTGTGTCTAGTTTTACTTTTCCTCTCACTAAAATTGGATGATTTCCTTGTTTTGACTTTGAGTTCTTGTTAGTAATTAATTCTTGACATTACCACCCACAACCACCAAGTTAACCTGTTAACTTCTAAGAGTGGCAAGTGTCTAGTAAAATCTTCCAACAGTATCATCCCTGGAGTAAACATTTAGGTCATGAGAATAAAGGAAATTACCACAAACTCCAGAAGCTCTTGATCATTAAACAAATTCTCCTTGTGGCTAGCTTAAGAAATGCATAGAGAACAGAATGGAGAATATGCATCTTAGGGTGTAATTAACAATTATTCGCCAAATTAAAGGCGAGGTGATTACCGTCAAATAATCCCCGAGACAAAGGCAAGGGTATTATTAGACAATATTCACCAAACCTGAGGCAAATAATTGTTTTAGTATAATTTCAGAGCTGAACAACAGAGAAATTTCTAAAATCATAACATTTTGGTAACAATTATTAACATTTTATTTTAACATTTTATATAAACCGTGTGGAGCGGTTTATATAGCGTCATATAAGGAACCGCTCGACCAATCAGATTGCTGGAAACTCTTTGCTTAGTTCTGAAATTATACTAAACGCATATTAATTAGTGTCACTACCTGACAGGCACTTCTCCATGGTGCAGGATTGTGTTGCCATCTTCTGCTCTAAATGGCTGTGGATGTTGTCTAACATCTTGATACTCTCCATCATAAGGACTTCTCCTACCATGAAGAGGAAGTGCACCACCAGCCATTGCATGGTGAGGATTTGGATAATCTACTCGTAAATTTTTGTGTTGCATAGGACTTGATGGGTTCCTTGGAAAGCTGGGTATTCTTCCAAAACATATCAGCTCACCCTGTCCCAGGACACTATTGCTCACACAATTACACAACGCACAGCAAACTCTACAATGAAAACAGAAAACAAAAGTTTGATGCATCAGGACTTCAAGCATTGATGAGCACTCCATTTAACATCCATTTAGCTTCTGAAAACACTAACCTTTTTACCATGGCTGACCAAGGGCCCATTTCTTGAGAGTCCTGGTGACTTAACAGGTCTGAAGCCATGTTTTTAAAATCAAAATTTAAAGGATAGGAAAGCAGGTTCTGGCACCTAAACTAGTCCTTTTTGTTTCTTTAGCTAATAGTTTTATTGTATCACTTTTAAAACTTCTGAAATCCCCATCTTGAACAAAAAGAGAACATCTTTACACGCCTGTTAAGTTACCTAAACTTTCGAGAAATGGGTCCCAGCATTGGAAATCCTGTCTATCCATCTCACTAACCATAATCCAATAGGTCCCCTGCCCAAGCAGAGCTTTTTCCCATTAATTTTCCAAATTTAACACCCAAAAAAATATAAAAAAAAAATATCAAATTATATCTCTTGAACACCATACCTCCTAGGAAGATAATTCATTTTGCTGTGAGAATTGTTCAACCCTTCCTCGACCTTAATTGGACTTCTCTTCTCAAATGTCTCCCTAGGAGAAAGCTGAAACCCAAAGGAAAGCCAAAAAATAAGTCAATAAATTCTTTGCTTAACAAACTGACAACCCACAAAACCCCACACAGTGACAACACAATGGGCCTTCACCTGTCATCTAAACTACCATATCCCTTCCACAGGAAGTATAATGTAAATTTTCATATTGAAGCAACTTGGAAATCAAAACCTTTTTTTATCCTAGCAGAGTTGCAGTCATATGCTACTGAAAACTATTTCATCACCTTAATTCTTTTTGGCGAATCTGCCTCAATGTCAATGTCTTGATCGCTGTCACTGGAACAGCTTACAGATGAACAAGTTGATGTCGTCCTGAAAGGGAAGAGAAATGTTTCAGCAGTGGAAACTAATGATGATTGGCACTATTGAAGTGCCTTTGACAATTCATCACAGCTGGGGTACATTGCTAATTCTCATTAAAAAGGAGCTGATGTCACAGATAATTAACCTTCCTTTGGTTCACATTATGATTAAAATTAGAAGAAAGCATGGAGATGTATGAATCAAATTTCTTTGAAAATTTGAACTCTTGAACTCTCAAAAATTAATTAGTGCCTTCTGCCTTTCAAATGTCTATTGGCTTTAACTCATACAAAAGAATTGAATGACTGGGAAATCACATCACATGAATAAAACCTTTGATTTCTGGAAGAAAACATAACTCAAGCTATCTTTTGATATCATTACCCTAAATAGCTGGAAATAACAAGGAGTTTTGATTAAAAGACTTCTCTTAACCCTTTACACTCTAACATGAGTATGCATATTCTCCATACTGTTTTCCAAACATTTCCTCAGGTGCTGACAAGGAGAATTTGTTTAACAATCAAGAGCTTCTTTGAGTGGTGATCATTTCCTTTATTCTCATGATGGTAATGTTTGATTTAGAGGTTATGTGGTAAGGAGAAATTGATAGCAGTTACTCTTTGGGGTAAATGGGTTAACCTGCCTGAAAATTCTAAACAATAACAACAATTAAAAAAAAGAGTATGTCCAACGTTCACTAACAACAACTGCACCTGCAATCTTGAAAGTGAGAATTAAAAAACAATTCTTGTACCTGTCTCCTTCATAATCAGGTTTTCTCTTTATTCTTGAGTTGGAAAAACTTGTTTCTTGAATATTAGGTCTCTTTCGTGCTTGTGGAGAACTGCTGTGTGAACAGAAGCAATTATTTTTCTCCCCAAGATTGTGCTCATTTGATAACACTACTCCATTTGGAACCTGCACAAAGATGGTACACCATACATGAGCTTATACGTCTGCATGCATTTTGTGATAATTCCTACTTAACCTGCTTTACTACCATGTCTGTGAAACAATTCAGAAAAGAAAAACAGTGTAATGAATAATCAGATAAATAGCTCATTATTTGTCATACTGGAAATCAGATGTTGAATTATCCTTTTGGCCTTCTTTAGGTTTGCTGTATAAACTCACACATGGACTTTTGATCAATTTATATTTCTTTCCTGAACAGTTTTCTGAGAACTAGAAAAATTCATCTCTTCATCTTCAACAATTAAAAAATCTACTGCCATCCACCAGTACTTAAAATTTTGTGAATCAGCCCATAATTTTATGCCTAAAAACTTTGAAATCATAACTCATGCAATTAGTGTATCATTGAAATCCACTAAATACAAGTCAGAATATCCTATCCTTTATTGAATGGTCTGAGAAGAACTGCATGAAAGTCAACTTGACAAAAACATGGGAACTTCTTTTACGAAGACTTCCAAGACGCCTCCTGAACCACTCGAGATCATAGGGGGGGAAGAAAACTGAAACTATTGGGTGTTACCTTGAGCAAGTGCCAGTTAATTGGGACAATCATATTGATTATCTACTTAGTAAGGCTAGCAGTAGGTTGTATATTTTAAGAATATGTAAATATTACGGCTACTCTATTGAGAATTCCGACTTACTTTTTCAAAGTTTGATTCTTTCAGTTTTAACATAATTATGCCGTTGAGGTCTGGGGGTGCACTTTTTATAGTAAATATTTAAGTAGAATTGATAAGCTCTTTGCCAGGTGTTATAAGCTGGGTTACTGCTTAAAGCAGCACAGTATCTTGGATATCCATCATAATAGAGATAAGAAATTATGGCAAAGGATCTCTTCCACCAACACAGCGTTGAGCGATCTCTTACCTCCCCAGAGAACGCGGCAGTTGAGAACTAAGTCGCATAATTATATTTTACCTAAGGTTCAGACAAACCGTTTTAAATCAGTTTTTATTAATAGATGTCTTTTCAATAGTACTTAATACCTTTTCCTTTTCCTTATTCATTCTATTCATGTTTATTGTTGCACGTCTGTTTGCACAATAATTCTTAATAAAGACTTTTGTTATTATTAGGATATTGATTTTGGTTCCCAGTCATAATCACCATTTTAAAATGTAAGCATTAATTACCTCATCAGTTTTATGACTGTTACCAACTTCTGTAAGAAAGAATTGACAAACCCTGGTCAGTGAAGTTTCTTACAACAGAATGAGAGTTTTGCTCTAGAATCTCAATCAACATAAATCTTTCAAAGACTCAGAGAATGTAATGAGAAGAAGACACTTTGAAGAAAACACAAATGTTGTCAAAACTGTTATGTTCCACTGGCTGAGTGAAAGTACATGGGAGGAAGATATTTTACCACACACCACCTTGGCCTGGATATGGATCATGTGACTTTTGGCAAGAAATTATACTTTGTTTTTTGTCATATTGCAGACCCTTTCCCTAGACATGATAGATTTCAAATTCAACTGTGAAGTCCAGCGAATTGATTACGGTAACACATAACTTCTCCATGTAATATCCATACATTATCCAGGCAATGAGAATACTTAAACTTATCAGGGAGAGATTGTTATCTTGATCTAACCCCAAATCCTCATAACTAAATACAAGGAAAGATGTAGCAACTAGACGGGAGAATTAGTCATCAGATCCTGAGAGTTTAGGGGATAAAATAATGACAAGCATCTAGTGTACAGTTTTGTTGAGTTTATAATTAAAGTGCCTATAACCCCAAAAATGTTTTTTAGCCATATTAAATCTCTCTATTGTACTGAGCAAAATGCCGCAAAAATTTTTGAGTTTGGTTAAAACTGCCCTTTTCTATGAATTTTCAAAGTCGTGGAAAATCACATTTTTTCAAACACGACTGAGGCACAGAATTATCAAGATGGGTCTGGGTCGAGCACAGTTTGTGACGTCATTCCAGGCTTTCCAATGAGTTTGCTTCAAGGACTGGATGAAGTATCTTGACAGATATGCCTGATAAGTGTATTGTTTTCGGGTGTAGCAACACTCCCAACAAAGAAAAAAGAATAGCATTTATGGTGCAGATGACCCGGAGAAAAAAAAAGAGAAGAAAGAAGTGGGTTGACTTTGTGCAATTGAAGCATGCACATTGGAAGCCCACAAAATACTCGGCCACATGTTACGGCCACTTCCGAGAAAAAGACCATTCAGTCATGTTTTCTGCTCTGACTAGTGAGACTATGCAACGAAGGTTGCGAAAAGGTGGAGTAGGAATTTTCGTCTTTTCGACTGTTCACGTGTGGAATGTTGAGGAAACGAAATCAGCTGAAAGCGAGCGAAGTAAGAGAAAGGCGAGAAAAATTGACCAGATCAGGCTTTAACGAAGGTTTCATCTCATTGGGAATGTATAATATTGACTGATATTGGATCGAAACGCCACTGCCGATGGCCTGGAATGACGTCACTAGCCCCAGTCTCTGGTTCACTCGGTCGTTCCAAAAATAAACCTGACTTTGAAAATTCATAAAAAATCACGGTTTTAACCTAAAACAAAAATTTTTACGGCATTTTGCTCAGTGCAATAGAGAGATTTAATATGGCCAAAAACATTTTTGGGGTTACAGGCACTTTAAGGTCAGGCTATAGTGATCAGACTCCTGGGCACATTTTGTGTGCGTGTGTGTGTGCATGCATGTGTGCAATGTGTAGTGTATTGCTCATACATGTACCTATCTTAATTATTGACAACAAGCTTAGTATGGGTTCTGGGATGAGCACTTTGTGCTTATAATTCAGTAAATGTACAACTAGCAGTAATCATACTGTACTGGAAATACTTGCCTGCTGTAAAATTACTATAAGTCAGTAAACTCTTCTACTTCTCTATGTGTAACGTGTTTGTTAATAAAGTTCAGTTAGCAATTTAGCAATGAAGGAGAAATAGTCTCTTTGTGTCTGAATGATGACACTATATACACAATGTGTCACTTAAAAAGTGTGATATATGATCTTATAATTACCCATATCAGCCCCACTGATAAACAATGTACATTACTTGAATTACAAACCTGCTGAGCTATGCGCCTTGTGTACATTTCCATATAAGGATGCTCTGAACCAGTCTAGTAACAAAGAAACAAGATCTGAAAAGTCATTCTCTTTTCCAACTGACGGTCATTTTTTTTGTACATAAGTTGTTAGAGTCTAATGTCCTATCAAGATTACTCTTTCCAGCTGATAGGTTTGTTAGGTAAGGACATAAATGCAAGGCCTGAAACAATTTCTCAGCTGGCTTTAGGCAAGTTGTCCATTCAAAGCTATTTTTGCCCACACACAATCCACATGTCATACCTTAATAACCCCCCCTCCTTTATTAAACAATTGCATGTGTACATTTACCATGATTTTATTGTATGTGCTGCCTCAAACTTGGAATTCACTCAGAATAAAATTCTTCTTTTTATGCCTAAACAAACCGGACAAAATCTCCAGCCATAAGAGGAGTTGACTGCACGAAAACTATATTTGACTGGACATTGCCTGTTGAGTGGCCGTTATGTTAAGCCCTGGCAGTGTCTGAAAATTTCTAGAATGCCAAATGAAGTGAAACTCAACTCAACAAAGACACATTTGCAGAGATATGTTTCATAGCAAGATCATTTAGAATACAATTTGGAGTAAAATCTTCATTGGACAAGAAAAATTCATTCAGAACCAGTCTTCAGCATCCATTACACAGAAAGCTTTCAGAGCTTTGTAAAGCAGGTGGACCATGCAACTTGCTCTAAGTTATCAGCTACATGTACAGGGATTTGATTAGAAGCCAGCAACCAGCAAATTCTGGCTGCTACTCTCTACAATGGAGCAGGCTATTAAGGCCATTCCACCTCTCTGCTTTTTTTTTTTTTTTTGGAAAACATGCAATATATTCTAAAGGCAGTCATCAGCAAAGGTGTTTTTTGTTGATTTTTTTTGTCTCCTTTTTAGTTGTTGGGTGATTTTTGTAACAAGTTCTTACAATTCAATCAATAACACAATCGGTGTGTACCAGGATTGCTGTGTGGCACGATTGCTGTGCGCCATGTTGAATGGACAGAAGAGAAAGGCTGGTGACAAATCTGCCTAATTAACACTGAACTGTGTTCCGCCTACTTATGTCTTGATATACGCCTACTTCCGGAATTAATGACATCCCTGCATGTAACAGTTGGTTTATGTTAGCACGTGGTGGGATACTAAAATCAACCATTCAAACACAAACAAAGCCAAAAGACAATGAAACAAAAACAAGTCTCGTTTAACCACAAGCTGAGCATCACTACCTATGATGCCTTTTGAACACACGCTTGCTTTAAAACACATAGTTTTCCACAATGCTTTGAAGAAGAAGAATAGGATGCTTATTTACTAACTTATTTCATCTTAGGAACTTTTTAGTAATTTTTTTGAAGGACTGCTATAACTCCATCTCACTGAGCAGCATACTGAGCAAATAAAGATGTTCCCAGGTAATGTTCATTACCGGACCAACCGCACAAAAAAATTAATTTACAGTAAGTGCTATGTTTTCAAACAAAAACTTCTAGCAACTTCTTTTCAAATTTTGGTCTCTCATCTTACAGGCCTATAACCACATGAACAAATAAAAACAAATGAAATTTATGTTAATTTTCATTTACATTTACATAATTATATCACCTTGCAACATCTATAACAGACATATTCGCAAGCTCCTTACGCTCTAAGCTTTCAAGCAATAATTTCTAGAAACTCTCTTTTCAAATTGTGGTCTTGCCTTTCTGCCCTAACCACAAGAACAGGTACAAAAATGAAATTTAGGTAAAGCACTAAGCTTTCAAACAAATAACTTCTAGAAACCTTTTCAAATTTTGTTCTCTCACCTTACTACACTAACTGCACAAAGAGATACAAAAATTACCTCACATTAAGCCCTCAACTTTTAACCTCAATAACTTCTTGAAACCCTCTTTTCGAACTTTGCATTTTCTGAAATTGTTGATTGAATTTGGTCCACTGAATGTGCCCCTGTTATTGAATATGCTGAGTTTTTAATGTATGGATTGATAAACTAGATCTTGTATAAATGAAACCCTGTTTTTGAAGAGTCCACACCACATAACAAACAAACAAACAAATAAAAACACTGGAAAATCCTCTAATACCTGGTGGCTGCACTCTCTCATAATGGTAAGGATTTACACAAACTTTCTCATGTTTTGTATCATAACCATTTTGACAGAATTCTTTGTGTCTCATCTCCATCTTGTGTACATCAGGCCATCGCCAGAGTCGAGCATATATAACATGTGGAAAGTCCTTCTTATCCCCAACTTGCAGCCGTCCATCCATGGTCCTTTGAACAGTGACGCACTTTGATGGCTGTCGTCCCTTTGAAGTAATTGCTACAATAAGTGAGTCCAGCTCATAGAATTTCTTCTTCAGTTTTTTCACAAGCGATTCAATGGCTCTTCGACTAAAGCTTTCAGCATCAGTGCTCTGATGTCGGTAAACAGCATGCCAAAGTAAATTACGCACAATGATGGGGCAAGGATCTGCTGAACATGGAATATTGCTTGGTCGGGGTAATGAGTTGCTTGGTCCAGCCTCAAGGTATTTTGGTTGATCATATGTAGTTGCTGGTTGAGGCGGGCTTTCTTTCAACACAGATAGCGCACATTTATCACAATTTGGTGAAGATGTTTTAACAGATAGAGCTGCCGCTGCATGAAGAAGAAAAACAAGCTGTTAAATGATATGTAGCATGTGATATTATCACTTTATTCAGTTAATCTCTATTGCAGTAAAACTAAAATATCACTAAAACTATACTTAACAATTGTTCTTTGAAATCAAGGTGAATAGTGGCTAAGTATTTACGAAGCCGCAAAGCGGCGAGGTAAATATTCCTGAAAGCCACTATTCACCAAGATTGAAAAGAATAATTGTTTTAGTGTCTACACATGAAGTGATCTCGACAAAAATAAAAGGAAGCCATTTCAAGGCAATTTCTGCTTCCGAAACTTTAGCGAAACACGAGTTTACACCCGCTATTTTGTTTTTCACATTATCCACTCGCTCGGAGGTCTACATTGTTGATTAGCCCGAGATAGCGAAGCAATCAGATTGCTTGAAACATCAAGATCACTGAGTTTGTATACTTATGATTAACGTCTCCCTGATCACATGTAAGGCTAAAAATTAGCACTATAGACAGCCCATTCAAATAAAAGCACACTTATAAAGAAAAGATTGCTGCTAAGAAGAAAGAGAAATGGTTTGCTTCAATTCATATTTCTAAGTTAAGAAAATTGTAATTTCACAGACATGTCTGCTCACACACTCAATTTGAATATTTCTACTCAAGTCAGATCAGACAAAGATATCATCTTCAGACAAAGAGCACTAGTCATAATTACACGGCTAAAGCCCAACCAGAAAAACAATCCAGAGATTCTTCCCATCTTGTAGCAGTTGGCTTGTGTCTTCATCTTGTGTTTTACATGAATTCTAATGCCACTAACTTTTACTCTGTATTTCCTTGTACTCATACAGAAAAGGAATTGAAATGTAAGCATGATCTGGTAACATTTTAAATTGCATACCAGACAATCAGTGATAAAATCTTAGAAATATAATATCATTGTCTACCAGACAGTTAATCGCTTGTCAATGCATCTATACACAGTGATTCCAGAATGCCTTGCGATGAACAAGTTTTCTACATATAATCTCTCTCAAAAATACTTGTACAGCCCTGTTATGTTAGATAGCAAATATGAATATGAAAAGTTTGTTGTTGGCTATATTGTCCTCAGATGGCTTAAGATGCCACACATGTTCCATCACCAGTTCAGTACTAACAATAACATGGCATAAAATCGTGTTAAACCAATCTTTTGTTCCCTTTTCTCTTGACAAAACTCCTCTTTACCCTTCTAGAGAGCCAAGACAAGCCACTCCGGAATTTCAAAACATTTTATGACAAGTCTGGATCCATATTTTTATGATTTCTCATCAAAGCAGAACATTAATTAATTTTTAGAATATGAATGAGCTGTATTGATGTTTGGTAATGATTTGTGTCACACAAATACAGAACTGATGAGTTTGGGTGAACATGATCTACAACTGAAAGCAGTGATCTCTTTATTTCAGCATCAAGACAGAAGTTGCTGACAAAATTACCATTCAAGCATTGAGTGTTACATGCTTGAATAAACAGTGTGTGCCCAAAAATGCCTGACTGCACATAGCTCCATGTATATGTCGAAAAAAAAAATGAATTTCTGTACTCGACATGAAAGATGTCTGCATCTGATCATGACACAGTAGACACATTACCCAATATTACGTCTGAAATATTGTCCAAATAGCAAAAACACTGTTGCATTCTTAGCATGACAATTTTGAGAGTCTATTTTAAGCCAAAGTCTTGAAGATTTGTGTAATCTCTTGTGGCCTAAAAAAATCCCTCCTTACGTGATATTATTAACAAGAAGCTTTAAAACAAGCTGTTTGGGTTTGAAACAGCAATGACATGATATTTAACTCCGCACAAGACTTAATTTTTTTAATGCTTGCAAAACCAATTTTCGGAAGCAACCAATATTACTTGACATACTTTTCCTACTTGTTACTAGGATTCTAGAACCACCAAGTCTTACATGAAACATGTCCATTTTGGGAAACTATACAGCAAATAAAACATCCATGCCGTCATTCAAAAACAGCTGCAGCTCAAAGGAACCAGTAAGGCATACTACAGAGCAATCTGTAAATTTTTAAAATGGATGTTTATTTGGCATCAGACATCGCAAATTCCCTGCTTCAATCTCGATTGCTCTAATTCACTAAAGAAGCCATGAAGAAGTCTGACTTATGACTCTTCTGTTACTTTACATCACTCTCCAGTCACTACATTTCTTGAAAAAAACCCTGACACTCCAAGAAGATTCTGTCCAATCTAGGAGAATGATAATTCTTCCCTGAAAATCTAAGTCAATATCAAATCACCTTATACGTGATGTGAAATTTCCGACACGGGTAAATTTTGCAAATTTTTGGCAAAACTGAGGTCAAACAAACAATAAGTGTTGCCAAAAAAACATTACACAAGATAAAATGACTCAAATTGCAGTGAACAAAGTATTTTAGCAATTACAGATTGAAGAAGCTCAAGAAACTTATTAACTATATGTTACTGAAAGGCATCAATTTTTGCTGGAATCATTCAGAAGAGTGTTCACTATGGCTGCATTTTGTGGTCAATTGACTCCTGATCAAGAATTCACGTACAGGCATAAATACACACTCAGGAACAATATGAAACTGCTTCATTTCTCACGAATAGTTGCCGCTGTTATGTTTCCAACAATATTGGTGATGTTGTAACTCTTACAGCATTTCTTCATGTGGTTGAAGTATGTTTAAAAATAGACTGCTGTAAGAAACAAATTGCATCCTTATTCAAGAATGCAAAATTTACGGTAAGTAACACAAAATAGAAAATTACAGAGGAATTAAAGAGGGGGGGTTGCAATTTCAATTCAATTTCAAACAAAAGACAAAAGAATTTCTAGTGAAAGTTACAATAGTTTAATAAAAAATTTCTCTTGTGCATAATTGTGATGCCTAATTTTCAGATTGTATATTTCGAAGCAAACACATTCTAAAAAAAATTTAACTTGTTCCTTATATTCACCAAATTGTTAAAGCTCCTTTGTAAATAAACATTGTATTCTGCATTCATAATGCATTAATGCACGAAATTTCCATTTGGCTCTCCAGCCTCACTGATATCCGGCCATCTCTGTAGAATGGCATTAATTTGTGCGCCTTGATTGGCTTCAATGAAAAAATGCCAAATGTGCCCTTGGCTTTCCGCTTAGCTTATTGCAATACGTGACACTTAGCACACACTCTGGATGACAATGAGAACTCAAGATCCGTATGTAATACTCGATATGCTTCAATGAAAATTGGTGTCAATGAGGTCACAGTTTAAATTATTACATACATCTTCATGAGACTGCATCAGCTGTTCCTCTTGAATAAATGCTTAACACGCTTCTTTATGCGCAGAGAGATCAGAAATGTCAATTTACTTATTAAACATCATTTCGCTGCTACCCTTCTTTAGCAATCAAACGCATTTGATTGGATTAAAAATTCAAGCGGCATTAGAGAGAAGTCAAGAGGAAGATTGTTGAAAATAATTGCAAATATTCAGCACCATTTTAGTGGCTTGCGTTAACTTACCAGCCACCTAGTGAGCGCTTTTTTCCAAGAGCATCAGATGAATGATCTCCCGACAGATATCTATTTCAATGAGTTGTGTTGTGCACGTAATACACTCTCTCTGTTCTGTTAAACAACTCTACCAAAACAATTTTAAGTTTCTTTTCATCGGTTACACTGTGTTGGACCTTTAAGTTTATCTTTTCCTGTCCTTTAACTGGTACACAAGGAGCAGTACATGTATGACTTAGCTGGATGAGAAATGCAAGCTCACTTCTTTCCCTCCAGCCATGATCTAGACAAGACCGTGCCTTTCACTCTCGATGGATATCTGTGAAATTACACTCGAGTATTACCAGCCATAGAATTGGTTGTCTAAAATTGATCGAGAGAAATAAAGGGGAAGGAGAAGTGGTCTCTCTAACTTAAGTTTTTTCTATTCCCATAGCTAACCTTACTTTTACAGTGGTATGAAGAAATGTTACGTGAGTGATAAGAATAAACGAAGAGAATAATCCTGAGAATTCCCAACTGAGATGGGTCTTAAAAAGAGGGAACAAATATACCCTCAATGGATGCTCTATGGATAATTTCTGAAAGGACATCACAGCCAATTCCATTACACCACATAAAAAGAATACCATGTAAGATACAGAGAAAAACAAGGCCTTCATTCAAGAACTTAGGATTCAAAAGTTCCTCTGTGTTACAGAAAAGATCCACAATTAATTCCCATTTTCAGAAAGCTCCACACAATAATTCATCAAACATTGTTGATACAAGGTTTTACTTGAAAGCTGATCAATGTAAATTGTTTGGTATGACAATATTTTGTTCAAAGAGCCCTAAATGGTGAAACAATTTAGGCACCTGTAGAAGATAATGAAAAATGAACCACTGATTTGTGACTGTGTTGTTGCTTGTGCTTTTCTTTTTCTTTTTTAGCCAAAAAATATAAAAAATAAACCCATGTTTTGGACTAGTTACTGGTTGCTGGAGTTTCCTGGTCTCTTTGAAGGTAAACAAAAATGGAAATTATGAAAAATTCATTTCAGGGATGTTCATGAGTCCAAAATAGTTACAAAGGAATCAAACATCCGCTTATGTTTTAACTCATCATGAATAAATGCCAATAACAACCACAAACATTTATTGCAAGTCAAAAGAAAAAAAACATACAATCTTACTTTTAATGCTTCAACATAAAGGCTCAAAGATCTTCATGAAATACTAATAGTCACGGATGTCCTAATTTGATAATGTTGAAAATCACTTACACATGCAACAAAAAATTCAATTACAAACAAGATCGTTCATGCATACACGATACAAGTAATGTTTTACCAGCTAAAACAAAGACATTTCACTTGTTGTCAAAAACCAGGGTCACTGGAAATGCAGTTGAGGACTTAAAAAAGGACAATTAAGACACCTAGATGCTGACATAAAGAAGAGATTAATCTTTGTAATTAACTCCCTTAGTTGAGAACACTGTCTGGTGTACTCTGAATCAGGGTGTGCAAGTTTTGTGGGGTGCATGTTGTAGGAAATATAAAATGCACTTGGTCTGCAGGGACAATTTAAAGAAAAGGTGTTTGAGGACATCACTCAAACTTCTTATATTTGCATTTCTTAAGATGTTCACATGTTACATAACTCATTTGTAAAATGGGTCACACATATATTTTCATATACGCTGACCAACTATTACAATACACAATTTTAAAATAATTGGATAAAATAAGTTACATTTGGTTAAGAATAAAACTAATTGATTCAGCCACAAAACCACTCATAGAGGAACTAATATTTTGCGAAAAATTCCTTCCTTTCCAATGCTAAAACATATGGAAAGTGATTGTCCACTGTGTTCTGAAAGACCAGTGACAATTGTGGTACTATTGTAAGTTATAACAATGTATGAAAAATTACCAAGAAAATGTCAAACAAAAAATTTGAATGCTTGTACCACGGGTCGATCCCCCAAGGTTTAAGCGAGAAATGATGTGAACAAAAGAAGCCGACAGATCACTTTTTTGAAGCAAACGCAAGTTTGTAATGAACATAAATACGAAGAAACTATTTTTTCATCGAACAAAATGGATAAAAAACACATTGCATACGAAAAAAAATTTCGTGCCGTGCGCACAAAAGCGAAATTTTAATTACGTGACAAAATCCCACCACATGGAATTTGAATACATCTACGTGGCCATTGTGGTTTTGTTTGTCGAGAGATGGAACTATTAATGGGAAAAAGGTTTATGGATGAAATCCAACAAGTTAAAAGTTTCAGAGAATCGACTGGAAGACCCTTGAGGAAATTTTGAAAACAGAGAATTTTCCCCAATCAAAAATCAGTATTTTCACGGTAAAATATAGCGCACTCAAATTGTCAAATTTATAATAACAAACAATAAGCGTTGTCAGAAACGCCATTCTAAATTTCAAAAGGCATTCCGCGCACTAAAATCTGTTCGGCGAACAACACGCATTTCGTGTTTTTCGCTCAAAAACATGGCGACTATGTAATCTTTCACAAAAGTGATCGCAAAATGACTATACGCGTTCACGCTACCGTCTAGACAGAGAAGCAGACTAAAATGAAAATTTATTCAGATGAGGCATTCTTGAATACTAATTAGGTATTCTGTTTACTTCTTGACTGAAGCATATTCAGGGGTTTAAGAGCGCTTTTTGCCCAGAAAAATGGTTCTAAATAGCGCGCGCGCGTGCTCCAAGTCTAGACGAAAATAAATTCACTTCCCAAAATAAATTAGAGGCGATGCAGACGACATTTCAGACGTTTTCAGACAAGAAACGTTCCAGCCAGACAATGACCACTAACCAACAATAATACTTAAACAAAACCCAGACAAAATAATTCTGCTGCCCCACACGAAACGATCGCGACTCATTTGGCGTGATTCAGGGTTCAAGCCGTCTAGCATAGAGTCTGGCAAGCCGTCCTAGCAAAATCGCGCGAAAAAATCCGGCAAAATTCTAAGCGATCAACGACTGGAAATTAAAAATGCAAAATAGCCGCTGGCTCGTTTTCCAAACAATGACCAAGCTTGGAGGAAAACATTGGCGTGCCTACTCCTTTGAAAATTAGCATTTTGTACGACGAATCTAGCGTGAAAGAGCGAGTGAGCTCCGGATTTGTTGAACGGGAAGCGCGATCACCGTAAGCATTTTCATAAGCAGAAAGATAATGTTACGACTAAACACTCCGACGATTCGATCATATGTCGGAAGGGACAATGACCATGAGTGAATTACAAAAATATTACCCCCGATCGAGTGCAACAGAGAAAGATCTGTTTTAGTTTCAAACGCGGCACGAAAATAAAAAAATCCCCTTGGGTTAGCTGATAATCAAAATTGATGAGAATAAAATATTCTATGTTTTGAGCCATTCTCACATAATAAGGCGCCGGTGTAAATTTTATCAGCACGTACGCGATGCGTGCGTTTAAGATTTTGGTCTCTTTGACATGACACCACACGATCGATTGACCCAACATACATTACTGTATCCACAGAAAAAATAAAAAAGACATAAACACATGACTCTTACCGGCCGGACTACGTATCCGCTCATAATGGTACGGATTGACGCAGACACTCTCGTACTTGAGATCATAGCCGTATCGACAGAATTCTAAATGTTTCATCTCCATTTTTTGAATGTCGGGCCATCGCCATAGTCGAGCGTAGATCACATGCGGAAAGCCTTTGCGCTCACAAACTTGAAGTCTGCCATCTAAAGTTCTCTGGATCGTGACGCATTTTGACGACTTGGATCCTTTAGTCGTGATAGCAGTGATTAGGGAGTCAAGCTCTTCAGATTTCTTTCTAAGCTTTTTGACCAGAGATTCGATGGCTCTCTTTGCGAATTTCTCAGTTTCGCCTCCTTGACGATGGCAAGTTGTATGGCACATTAAATTCAACACAATACTTAGATTCGCATCGGCAGAGCTCGGTCCTCTCTTCGGGGAAGCCGATTGCACTAAGCTTTTCTCCATTCCCCTCTCCCTGGATAGTCCTCATTTCATCGTCGTAGTTCAAAATTCAAGAAGGTTCCGTCCTTCAAAATCCCACTTTCTTGAACGTTCTTTCCAAACAACACCATATGCGCAGAACATGTTCAGATTCAATCCACTATGGTCATGTCATGGCAAGCCTCTCGCCCAATCATATCGCTCAGAAAACGATAGCAATTAATCCTTACACGCGTTCCTGTCGATCAAAATGACTGACAGGAAATGGTAAACAATGTATTTTCATATGTTTGGTTACTTTCAAAGCTGAGGACACGAAAAAAAAAAAAGTGGGAAATCCGATGGCAATGATATTACCGGAGGACATGTTTCCTAGTGACAATTGTGTTAATAGAATAAGCTTATGTTTGTTCAGACTAAACGAGTTTTCACCGGTCAACTACGTCGCAACACGTTTTCACACACACGAAAATTCTCGCTTGTTTTTTGATACGTAATCGTGAAGCATAAGTTCTTCACCACCCACTCGTTTTGAAATAAGACCTTGACTGAAATAAATAAGTCACGTCTAGCCCTAAAATCTTAAAGCTGTTGCATAACGGCAGCCTCTGGGATACATGTTCACTTGCCAAGCAAGGAAAAAATGATTATTTTTATGTGACAAAGTTGAAAAGTTAAATTTGAAAGGCTGTCGCAGACACGTATTTCTATTTCCTTCCCTGACTTCTGCTGGCGCCAAGAAATGTGAGAAACAAGTTGTCATAGCAGTTTTAAAACATTTGTTCTGTCGCCCACGCATTTCTTTTTGTCCATTAATCAACGTAAGCTGCAAGATTATTGGAATCACAATTACGGTGCTCTTGGTGAGAGCTGAAGCAATATAAATTAACTACGACTTACAGGAAATGAAATAATTCTTTTGAATTTCAGTACAATATCGACTCAGATGTCTATACCCAGAAAAGTGAAATTTTCTCCCCCTACATAAGTTCCCTAATAGGTCGCCTTAATCCACAAGGTGGCTCGTGAAGAGAAAGACATTCATATGTCCCAGACCTGAAGTCTTATTTTCGAAACGAAAATAAAACTGGCCTATCTGTCTTTCTATATTTGTTTCACCAGCAAGTATTAAATTACACGGTATTTTTACACGCAACAATACATCAGAGATGAAAGAAAACATTTCGTGCTCTTTGAAGGCTTTTCGTGAAGTATGGAATAGATAAATTTAAGCCTGTCACGCGAACAGCGAAGCAAGCACGTTCGCGACTTTTCATACGCCGACTGAAATTACAATAAGTCAAATTTGTCTTCTTTAATCCCGTTTTTGGGTGGTACAATGAGTGTTCCGACTCCCAACGTCTGGCCGTCTTGTTTGTCTGTCTGGAATTTGAGGGTGTCTACTTTTCGGCCATGTTTTCGTCTCGCTCCGTGGGGGACTAGGAAGAATATGTCTGCACAACTCCTCGGCTTGCGCGCGCGAAGGTGATTCTGGCATGAAAGCTGCAACCAACAACAATTTCGGAAAAATACAGGTTGGACCCTGTGGTTAATAAAATGCATCATTAGCTAGCGTGCAAGGAGGGCCTTTGTTTGCGTAAGGGAGGGGCCCACTTGGCATATCAGCCAGTATCTAAATCCACCAAGTGGTTTGTGACAAAAGAATTTATCGGGAAAGTGAAAATGGCGGAGCCTTAAAAGGGGTGCTAAATATCAGCGCTCATTCTTTCTCGGCATGCTTACAGCCATAAACTCGACAAGTCGTCTACCTTGATGGTATTGTTTTGCTTTAACCACGTACACCGGAAGTGAACATTTCCGGTTTTGCAGAACTGGGTCTTTCATGCTGAAAACCCCTGGAATGAGGCCTAAATGTCGCTTTTCAAGTGACGCAACAAATGTTTTTGTAGACCCATGATGACTCAATATAAACACGTTGTTGATTACTTGTATTGAAAATGGGAGGAAAAGATATTTAGAAAATGACGCTAACTTGAATTTGAGTTTCAATTTTGTGGAACTCGACATATTATTTCTACTCCCGTGTCTCGGCAAGTTTTACTTAATTCTTTTAATTTTGTTTTGCCGATATAATTCATAGTTGCAATATGGTAAGAAAAAAACAACCGCAATAAAAATAGCAACATTTCATATTTTTTAAAATCTCAATGGAACGATTTGTGAATTATAACATTTTACTTTCGAATGAAAAGAAGCGAAAACAGAAAGATGGCAAGTTTGACGATTCGATTTTCCTAATTCTCTGGTCCCTTCAACAATTACACCCACAACAAAATACAACAAACCACCACGACTTCATGGCCACCAACAGCATAGGAAACTATCTCAACTTGAAGTACCACCCAAAACCCCTTGCGCGACATGCTCTCAATTACAGTCAAAAGATACTTCACCTACACGACTGCTTTCCACCTTACAGAATGCTTCTTAAAATTAGTCAAAATCAATGCAGTGTTCAAATTGAAAGACGAATAAACGGAAATGAACTAATATAACAACCTCAGAATGTATGGATTTGATTAACAATATCGAGGCACACAGGGGATACGTGGGTTTGCAATTGATACATATATATATTTATTGAAGCAAAATCATGTTTTGGACTTGACTTATTTCAAAAAAAAATTTTGAAAATGAAACACGAATTCACCAAAATTACAAATTAGAAAATATTTCTGTGCCATTAGTAGTCAGTAACGAAAACAGCAATCGCTCTTTCGTGAATTTTTCTCCTACCTTTAGCAGGTGACATAATTGTAAATACAAAAAAAGATTCAAACGCTCAAATAAAATTTTTATGCGATCCGACGATAAACACGTTTTGTAAAAGTTTAAGGAATTTCAAGAAATTTCTGTATTCTCCCCGCAGCACACTGCAAAAAATAGTACTTTTGATCAGAAAACACTGTTGAACTTTTTATGGCAAAGTGTATTCTTATCCTCTTGGTCAGAAGTTTTTATGAAAATGTCAGTGCTACAGGCCAATTATTGATTTCATTGCAAAGGGGTCAGTGTTCCTTCCATATATATGCGAGTTTGGTCCGTTAGAGTTGGGTCGACACTACTGTAATTATAGTTACTGACATTTTCCGCAAAGCCTAGCATCCATCCCTGTGACTTGTCAGAGATAAAAAGAATGAATGTATGGCGACATCCTGTCCTAACAACAACACGCTCCCTAGTCAACGGGGCGCCACGAAAGTTTGTCAAATATCGTAACCACTTCAAACGAGAACACCTGCTTCCTGACACGAAGGTCTACGGAGAGGAAACTGAAGCTTAACTTTTGCGTCAAATTCGTGGGTTACTTCACTTTAGTTCTTTCATCACGTTCAATTACATTGCTTGTTAAAAAATCCATTTTGGTTTTTTTTTTTTTTTTTTTTGTCAGGAATTGCTCTCAAACTTCCTTTCCTTTGAATGTCGCATATTTTGTTTCATTTGCGATTGACTAAAATAATTAACGAGAAGCTTTCCACGAAACGGAATTCATTAACATCACAAAGTTGCAAGAGTACTTTGGTCCGCCCTACGGCAATTAATGTTGTGCTTGAGTTCGAAATCAAACAGAACCGTCAGTTTGGTTCCGTGAACGTTTTCAACACACCATTAAGAAAGAAGACACTTATCCCACACGAAATTTGTGGATTCGTTAAGTACAAGGCAGTGCGCCACAAAAACACGAAGAAAATTATAATCCACTTTACAAAACCAGCCAAGTACGTGCCGAGGATTAACGAGGAACAAACTGTTGTTAACATTCGCGTGATGTGCGCTTCACAAAGGTCACGTTACTAAGTATCAAACTGCCCTTTCATGAATTATTCTTTTACGTCAAAATTGAAAACAACCATAAGTTGCTAGGTTCTTAGTTTTTCTCTCAGGTGCCTTTAAGGCAGCTTGCCCTCAATTACCCCCTTCTTGTCGCCGACGTTGTCAGCGTCTCAAAATCAAAAGAATCAATTAAAGTTTTAGCGCCATATTCTAACAAAGGCTTTGACGCCCGAGAGAGGTTTCAGAGGAGTAACACCAGCCATTATGGCACTGCTTTTTCAAAAATGCGCAGTCTCAAAACACTGAAACTCACCAGTAAATAACAGTTTTCTAAGCATATTGTTTATTCTTCATATTCAATAAAACTTCACTTCAGGCAATACCGTATTATGTACACTACATTCCATGTTTCACGCATTCGGCGCGTGTAAAATTTTTAAAAAACTCTCGAAAATTTTGGCACTATAATTATCGTCATAATTAAGCCGCACTTCAGGGCAAAAACAAAAACAAAAAAAAAAACAAAACAAAAAAAAAACAAGCAATTTTAATATGTTCACTGAATTCCTATGTAACATGTTTGACTTTGCGGTTTTACTTCAAGTGTTACAAAAAAAAAAAATAAGGAAAAAAATGCGAACTAAAACTATGTTTTAATGATGCAGCATACAATTTATGCATATATTTATATATATATTCCTTGCAGTCCTAAGAGTAAGAAATCTAAGGATTTGAACCGGCCAAAAACTGTAGAACATTCCGTCAAGGGGAAACACGTTAAATAAATAACGATAAATACATTTCTGATTGAAACACAATATGTCTTCGCGTTAGTTCATCCATTTGCGGCAATTCGGAGCACCGCAAAGGCATGGGATCTTGTTTTCTTCATCTTCAAATTCGAATTTGTAGTCATAAGTGAGCTGCAAAAGAAAACGACGCGTAAATAAACTTCACACACAACGACACATCTAAACAACACCTTCAACTCCCTTAGAAATGACCTATTCACAGCACACGTACGAATCATAAAAACTCCTGTTTGTTTCAAGATAAAATTCTGGGAAGCATTTACGTTGGATCTCAATTCACCGAAAAACCGCCAGGGAAAAGTGACGCGCTTAACTTTGTAAGGTACTTGAGGGAAATTGAAGTCAAAATCGGCCTAGCTACCGAAGGTAGCATTAATAAACTAAACTTATTCAAGGGCGTTTCTCATTTTCTTTAATTTTTAGTTAAAAAACACAACTACATGTTGTAGGACAAGACAAAAGTTTAAATGCCATGGGACCATTTGCAAACAAAACATTTTTTTAAAATAAAAAAAAAATCTTTTGGCCAGTTAATCTTCGTTTTTCTATCAGTACCATTCTGAGAGTTTCTTAATATTGCTCACAGTTTCAAATAAATCCAAAAGGAAAGAAAAATTAACATCGAGAACGAGGAGCTTTTTCTCTCGTTAATTTTTTGCCGAGTCAAAATGCAAAATCGTGAATTCTACATCTACAAACACGGCCCAGACATGTAAAACATCTGCTAACAAATGGAGAGCTTCAAACAATTCCCAGTACTGAAGCATATAAACTACCATTATGAAAAATGAAGTAAATCAAGATCAAATGAATAAAGGCTGATAGTTTCGAAAGAAACTGTTTGGGGCTGCGTCGGTGGGAGTAACGAAATAATTTGGATATATCAACAAAGTTGAAGTGATAAATTGCCCACCGTAACGATTACAAAAGCTGACGTTTCGAGCGTTAGCCCTTCGTTAACCCTATCCAAATTAAACCAAGATCAGAATATTACCTCTTCTCCCTTTTCAACTTTCCTGTTGGATATAATGATAATCTTTTGGTCCTTTTCAAACGTTACAACTTCAGCAACACAGTTTGGCTATGGAAGAAAATATGAAATGGCTGTGAGCAAAGCTGGCTGAACAATCTTAAACCCTGACATCAGACTGCATATTCTCCACACTGTCCTTAATTCATTTCGTAAGGTACCGACAGGGAGAATTTCTTTAACAATCAAGAGCATATGATGAATATATGAACTTCATATATTCATCATAACTGATTTATCATCACGGGTTTATTACGAATCAACTTAACGGCCTGCTCCCAGTTGGCTTGTTAGCTCAATTGGTAGAGCGCTGCACTAGTATCGCAAAGGTCAGTGGTTCGAATCCCCGAACAGGCCTGATTTTTTTCAGGTCTGATTTCCGCTATTGCATAAATAGCGCTCTCTACTGCGAAGATCGTGCATCATACGAATCAAGAGCATCTTTAGTTTTCGATCATTTCCTTTATTCTCACGGCCTTCAGTGTTTGGTTTAGGGATAATACTGTAAAGAAATATTCGATGTTATTTTAAGGATTACGTCAAATGAAGAAGTTCGCGTTAGACTATTTTTCTACACTGAAATGTGGAATGGATGTGTTGAACCTATCTTGGGCGCTTACACCAAAACTTGACGTTTTGTCACATTTTTATCAACATCTTGTGGTCAAAAGAAGCTTGGAGTTTCTCTCGCTAGTCGGAGAAATAGCACAGGTCCTAGGGATGATTTATCCGGTAATCAGAAATCACGCATTGAAGAGTCGGAAAAAAAGTCGCCACACTAAGACTTTCTGTTGTTCGTGTTCCTGCAGTTTGATTGGTTGAAAAAAGTTTTGAAATCTTATCGCGTTTGTTTCAAAGTCCATACGCCTAGGTATGCGAACGGAACTTAGATCTTCAGCAAAAACTGGTGCGCACTGTGAATGAATTGCACCTCTGGGGTCGATCACGTTTCAAGAGCATTAGTAACCTGAAATAATGAAATCTGCAAGGATCTGACTTAAAAAGGGATGTTGTTGGTAACTTACCATACAGGAGTGGTTGATGTAACGTGCTGGTCCGCCGGCCATTGTGGCATCTATCACTGCGTCAGAGTCTATTCTAAACATGTACACACCACGATTCTACGAAAAAATAGAGATAACAAACACATTAGCTTTGGCATGTAAGGATCAAAACTAAATTTGCCCACCCCCTTCCCCCATGTTCCTCAACTCCTTGACCCCTAAGAGTGACTAGCATCTACTTTCTCCTGACAACATCACCCCTTCAAAGAAGTAAAAAGATAACATGTCTGCGGAAACTGTTTACGAAGCATTCCGCTATGAATTGACGCGCAACACAATGACATCAAATGGCGTCACGTACACATACTCCACACAACTCACCTGTTTTTCATAGATTTGCTCTCTTCTGTTTGCGACCTCGTTTCGAATAATAGAACCAATGTACTCGATCACCATGCTTCCCTGTCGGAGAGAAACAACACTGCAATTAATATCTAAGTTTGTAAAGACAGCTGTTTCGTCAGCTCTGATAGAAACAAAGATTGAACTTACCGCTTCCATGTCTTTGTTTGCAAACAGACCTAAGCCCTGAAATGGCAGAGAAAAACGACTTAAATTATTTGCGTATGTCACTGTTACATTTTCAGAGCCACTGCTTCAAAGGGGATCACCTGGCACCGATCGTAAAGGTCGGCACACATGAGGGGACTAGTCCCTGAATTTTAATATGTTCACTGAATTCCTATGTAACATGTTTGACTTTGCGGTTTTACTTCAAGTGTTACAAAAAAAA